CAAATTTGTGAAAAATTACTTTACATGTACCTACATTATAATCCAATTTCAAAAAGACTTAACAATAAATAAAAAAAAGTGTATGATTTATTCAAAGAAACATAAAAAGATAACTGATTATTTTTCAGTATTTTTTTTTTTTATATCTCAAGATATTATGAAAATTCATAAATACATTTGAAATAAGAGATTCATAATTATTCATTTTCATTAAAAAGAACAAATTTTCATTAAATATGTACAGTAAATAACAATAACTTCTTTTATTATCAACCTTGAATAAAAAGCTCTAAAGTATTTAACCTGTGTGAAAAAAAAACTAGAGCACGTTTTGACAAACATAATTTAACTTAGTGATACTCTGAGAATAAGGTGGGTGCTTCTAATTTCTTTATTAGCACGCCTTAGTCCTAGTGACTTGTTTTTTAGAACACTTGGCCGACATTCAAGCTTCATTCAAGGTATAGACCCAGTGATTACGTAGACCAAGGAAGTACGTGCCGGTGCATAAAACATTCCCTAGCTTGCATAAATTAAACCAAATTTCCCGACGGATTTGCGTCGTACGCGGTCGTACTATAATAACGTAGACTTACTGAGCACGAATATAAGTGAGGCTACTGGGGGGAACGATTGTCTAACCAATAAAAATCAAACTATGCTTCTTAAAATCATTTTTTTTCATGTACGAGCATGATACTACATTTTTCAACAGATTAATATGAATTCTAGATTAATGATAAGTATTCTCAGCATAACAAATCATGAGATTGACTGAAAAAATGGTCCAAAATGTAGTCCTTTGTGTTAAAATATCTCAATAAATCTTTAACTTATCATTTAGAGATCTAAAAGATGAGAATTTTTTTTAAAAAAAAAAGATGATGAAAAAATTTTTGATGTAGATAATAATTTAGTATTCGTTGTGAACTATTATATAACAGCGTAGTTTGAAATGGTTAGAGCAGTGAAGTAAAAAAGTATAATGTAGATATTAAAGTATATTAAATGAAGCATTATAAAATCTATATTGTTCCAAGTAGAATGAGCAGTTGCCAGAGAGACGCAAAACACTTAAAGCAAATCTGTGACCAAAAATTGAATCTTGAATGGAAAAAACACAATGCAATCTCCCCAGGCACTTCCTCCGGAACCACAATTTCGCGGCCAGACTCTCACCGACCACATCTATTTTCTACCTTTTTGTCTCTTTCTCTCTTTCACAGTAGTTACAGTAAAATTTAGCGATAATTATGGACGATTAGGCGAACTGATAATAACATTATGACCGGCAATTATAACCAAGGCTTGTTCAAGACCAATAGAGTGGTTTTTTTTTTTACCTTTTCTCTTCACCTTAAAATATTTTCTTCTCTTATTCAAACTTTTCTGGCAATGTGAACTCACTCAATTGCAATGATTTATTGATTTTTAAATATCCCGTGGACTCTTTGAATATTTTTCGATTTACCTTCAATTTCACAAAGAACCAACTTACAATTATAGTTACAGTCTCTTCCTGCTTTAATCGTGCTTCATCACCTAAACCCCTTCTTGTCCCACTTTTCGTTTCAACCTAGAAGCTTGCTTTGCTAGCCTCGCCATCAGTAATCCGATTTTCCAATCCCCTCGACACTCCCTCACTGGTAATCTTCCTCCTTTGGTTAACTTCTTTGCGCTCCCGAAGCGGAGGTTGTATCTACGTTTAACCCAGTAGACAAAAAAAAAAAAAAAGGATAAAAAAGTTCCTTTCTACCAGATAAGGGAGATGGTGAAGAGACTAAAATCCCCACAGTACAAGAGACGATTTATCGAATTTTCACTTGGGGAAATATGACTCCCTCTCACTTGCTCTTATGCATTTTAGTTGAACAAACGGGAGTTTTCATCAGCTGCCCATCAACGCGAGTGATGAAGAGGGACAATGGCTTCAATTATCGTGACGTTCTAGCATCCAGTTTACGATACGATGCAGTACTTGGAGTATATGCGAGGGGGAGAAGGGGATGAAATAGAGTGAGATAGAGAAATGGTAGGGCATGTGGCTGCCTCAATCGATAAATCATTTGATCCCATTAAGTCCAAATTTCATTCCGCCAATTCAATCTGAATGTCTTTGACAAGTAAAATTAAAATTGATTTCTGTGAATTTCCAATTGCCAAATAGTTGATAGAAAAAGTACATTTTGGTATCTGTTTAGTGTTGCAATCATTTGGCTCTATGTAATATTCAAATACTCATGATGAAATAGAATTGGTAATAGACTATTAATGTTGACGATTGATTGTGGACAAATGATTAGGTGTTTTTGGGAATCTTTAGCTCTTGTTTGAATCAAAAATTAAATTGCATTATTGATGAAAAACTTTGTTGTACTTTAGATAACAATAGGTAGGTGCAGTTTGATAGTTGTTATCCATGGAAATTTTCAGTTAATAATTTATGCAAAAATATTTCTTCGGAATAATTATTCGATTAATATCAATCAGAAAGTTTGATGAATAGTAATTTATTAAAATAATTAGTTGTTTAATATTAATTCGTGAGTTCAATAAAAAACTATTTTAAAACAAGAATTTATTATAAAAATAATTGAAAAAAGTTTTAAAAATTAAATTGAATAATTTTTTACTAAGATGAATTTAATTTTCTTTTAGAATAAATTCATCAGGATATACTTGTAGATAATTTGTTACATTAAAATTCATTCCACGTTTGCCATTTTTGTTTACAAAATTTCAGTAATTAATTTTAATGACTTCAATATTATTCATCCCAACTAAAAAGCTATATTTTTTTTATAATTAAAAAAGAATTGCTTCAATTCTTAACTCAACATTTTTTCATATTTATTAGCGCAATTAGGTGTTAAAAAAATAAATATTATGATTTAAAAGTATTAAATAATTGGAGCAAAATGATTAGCTGTTGTTGTGTATTTAACGTAATTATTTAGGTATGCATACCGTCGCTGTAAGGATGGTGATAATAATGATAATAGAGGAGTGTTGGTGATGATGATGGGAGTAGTAGCAGGAAGGAATAGTACGACAATTCGTCACGTGAGAATAGTTGACATTATCCTTGGAGACATGATTAGTGGCTCCGATACCACCAGGACGTCTGATGTATTCGCGCGACGTTATCTACGAGTAGCACGACGCGCATAATGCCACTTACACCCCCTTCAAGAGAGGCGACAAGCACGTGGTAGCACCCTACTCGTCACTGGAGACAAAAGGTCTTTGTCACGGTCAGTGGACTAGACGCGTTTTCTCAAATTTGATTGACATATCTCTAGACTAACAACTGTGCATTCTAAACTACGTGTAATCATTGTGAAAAAATTCTCGTAATATTTTTGTAGATAATTTCATTTTTTCTCGGTATTGCTCTCCACATCTGTTCCCTCTATTCTTCTGAAATATGAAAACATTTTTTTTATTAAAGATAAATTATTATGTTTGGATTTTAAATAAAATTAAAGCTATGGATAAATGGGGAAGAAATATTTTCAAGTTCGAAGGGTTTCTTATTTATAAATAGATGGGGAAGATAATAAAGTTGAATAGGCATTGGCAGTTATTTAAAGGGTTTCACTGAAGTACTACTTCGAAGTTAAATCATATATAACAGTAAAGATGTTTTTTATTTCAATATTTAACTTGGAAATAAATCTTATTAGAAAAAGAATTGAATATCATTTCTTAATAATATGAACTTTAAAGATAAATATGCAGCCAATTTATTATTAATTCAAGATTAAATTAAATAAAATATCGGTATTATTCAATTTGATAGGATAATTTTTCTATTTGAATGGAATTTATTGCAATAACACTAAGATTGTTTTTTATTGAATACTTCAAGTCTAATTACCAGATAACTCTGTAATTTCAACATAAAAATTCTTCTGAAGTGACAGTAAAATTCCTTTAGTAAATAGCTCAATTCATCAGGGTAATAGATTGTCGATTATTTTGCAACAGTTCATTTGTATTGAAATATTTAAATCTTTTAAAAGCACCATCAATTAATTGTCGTAATGATAATATTCAAATAATAATGGGTTGAACAAAGAGATTAATGGTGTTGTAATTTTTCTTAGTAAATCAGAGATAAACATTGAAAATTATACCTCTGTCAGAACCACAGATACTTGATTGACTGCTACTAATTTTATGATGTATTAAGCTTTATAGAGATGTAAAAAAATCAAATGAAAAAAAATAACGTCATAGTAGTAAACCTTAAAGAATCACAAAATAATGAATATTTATTGATTAATCAAATATTTATCTTCTTAACAAGTAGTTCGATCAATAATTTTTACATTAAAATATTAAGTAATAACTATTCATAATAAACAAAGTAAACATAATTTTACTTTAAAATAAAATTTAATTTTATTAACATCAATATTATTCCTTGAGAAGTAGAACATTGAAGTCGATATTAAATTATTATTATTATTATTGATCATCAGTTAAATATTAATAGTTAAAAGCAATATGTAGCATCTAATAAATATTTTATTGCTGTGAAAGTTTTTTCGATAACTCAACACGATTATATCAATCGGAAATTATTACTAGAGTTCATTAAATAGCATCTGAATTTGAGGAAACGTCCGTAACTGTACGTAATGCAGCTGTAATGTGAGATGAGTAATGGGACTAGACTTCGAAAGAGACACGGAATAAAGTGAGAGCGAGAGTATGAGAGAGTACGAGATAAGAGACAGAGTCGCGATCCTACCACGCGCAAGTTCGATATTACGAGATGCGCTACACCTATCGTCTCATAGAGTGTGCCACACCCGTGGCTAATCCTTTCTTAATAACATAATGTTTTCAACGCATCGCGTGTAATCCCACAGCGACTGGATAATTTTTAATATATCTAATGAAGTTTTATAATAAGAAAAAAAAATAATGAATAGTAATGATGATAAATATGCAACATTTATAATAATATGGGTAATTTTTTATGATTTCAGGTGTCAAAAAATTGGCTGAGCTCTTGGCAGTTAATGCTGCTAATCACAATGAGTCTATTCACCACAGTAAAGTCTGCATACTGCCCGGTTGGATGCACTTGTGATGATGAAGCATTGGTGGTGATGTGTATAGGAGTGAGTCTCGACGTAATTCCAATAGCACTTAATCCTTCAACCCAGAGGTTAGTTTTGAAAGAAAGTCGAATCCGCACAGTGGATGCTGCGGCATTTCAATTCTACGGTGACCTCAAGAACGTCGATTTATCGAGTAATCATCTCGTTTCAATACCAAATGAAAGTTTTAAAGCTCAAAAAAATCTCTTAGAGCTTCATCTAAAACATAACAAAATATCAAGCTTAGCAGAGAAGACTTTTCAAGGATTAATATCTTTAACAGTACTAAATATGAGAGATAATTATTTGGAGACATTAACAAATGGGTTGTTCACATCTCTTACCAAGCTTGAAGAATTGGACTTGGGTGGAAATAGGATATCCAAAGTAGAACCTGGTGCATTCCAGAAATTAGGAGCTCTCAGAGTACTCTATCTAGATGACAATCAGTTGACATCAGTTCCATCACCAGCTTTAGCACCTTTGAATTCCTTGGCAGAGCTTCACATTGGCCTTAACGGATTTCCTTCACTTACTGATGATGCATTTAAAGGTCTAGAACGTCTAGCAGTTCTAGATGTGTCCATTGCTACTTTAGATAATATAAGTGAAGCTGCATTTCGAGGTTTATATTCTTTACGCACTCTCAAGTTAGGAGGAAATAAACTACGAGAGGTGCCTACGAAACAATTGGAAACCTTGAGTCGACTAGAGGAGTTAATATTGGGACAAAATCCATTTTCAATGTTAAAATCAGGTGCTTTTCAAGGTCTAACAAATCTAAAAAAACTCGACATTTCAGGGGCAAAATTGTTAACAACCGTAGAGAAGGGTGCCTTTTCTGATAATAGTAACCTTGAAACTTTAATCCTGAAGAGCAACAAGAAACTAACAACTATAGAGGATGGTGCACTTGCTGGACTTCCAAACCTTCGGCATTTAATGCTACGAGATAACGCCTTTACGAGTTTTCCAGAATCATTAGTAGCTTGGGGAGATCTTAGAAGGTTAGATCTAAGCGAGAATCCTCTCATTTGCGACTGTAATCTGTTGTGGTTGTCTGAAGTTCTAGTGGCAAGAAATTCAAGTCCCGTGATCTGCGCAGAGCCACCAGAATCTCGTGGTAAATCCCTCAAGGGTATGGCGCCGGATGAATTGGGTTGTGCTTTCTCAGATCCACGTAAGCAAGCGCTTCTAGCAACTCTCTGTGCAGCAGGACTTGCTTTATTGGCTGGGTTAGCTTTGTTACTCTACTATCGTTGTCGTAAGCGTGTAAGAGATGCTTTAAAAGATTATAAATGGAAAAATCGCGCCATTTCACGTAAAGAACATGAGTATCAAAAGACATTCTCTGATGAAGAATATATTGTTCGAACACATGGACATCATCGTCATCAGCAACAATTACATCAGCAATTTGCCCAAACTCATCATCCGCAGTTTCAACAGCAACAACAACAGCAATTGCAACACTCTCAAATCACTACAGGCATTAAACCAATACCAGTGACGGAACTGTAGCTAGAGCTTCGGGCAGCGAGCCCCGGTAACGGTGGAGTTTGGTTTTTGCCACATGGTGGTACTACTCCGGCCGAGGGTTTCACCTACATTGATGGCGAAACCGCGCGACAAATGCGTCGCCCAGGCACGCTGCCCGTTTCTGCAATTAGTCAACGCTCTGGTAGTGGCATTTTTTCACCAACCCAAGGTCCTAGTGACATCAATAATATCATTAACACGAGTGGTATTAATGGTGCATCAACCAGGATACATCACTCGAATCATTCTTTACGCAGAAATCCACTACCAGCTTTGCCGGCACGCTCCGATTCATGTAGGCTCACTGATGAACAAAGAAATTATCCTAATGAACGAATTTATAATGAAGATAATCAGATATCATTGCAAAAACACTCACCACCGTGTCCTCAATCCTCTTATCCTACTTTGCCGATTAATGGTCATGTGTCTTCATACCATTATCATCATTATAGCAGCAGAGATCGAGACAGCTCTCGGGATCGTAATCTAAAAGATCGAGAGCTGCCAATGGTACCACAGAGAAACGATAAACATCCTATGGAGTTGGAAATACATGACAACAAAGGCAATAGTACCTACAGAGAATAAACACCAAGCCGTTTATCGTAATTTAACTGCCACTGCACTTAATGCGCTTATTAAAATCAAACCAAGACTGATGATATATAGAAAGAGAGAAAGAGAGAGAGAGAGAAAAAGATGCTGAAGGATTCTCGTGAATCAAGTGATGAAAAAAAAAAGTAGAAAACCAGTCTCTAGTGTGTCAAATACGACTCATGAGATTTTTCATTCAATGAATTCTCTTGTGAAATTTTTTCCTGAGGCAGCTTACAACAGAATCCGGGTATCAAGTGAAGACTGAAGACGTCAAAAAGACAAACATTCCTCAGTTCTTATATTCAATGTCATCAGAATGTATAATGTGTTATATATATAATAAGATGATTGAGTGTATTCGCGTGTATGTACGTTTACTGCAAACATTCTTTTAGATTCGATAGTGAAGTTTAGATAGATATTGAGGAAACTAAGTAAATTGGTCTAAAGATTTAAATTTAATTTTGAATAATTATTTGGATGTACCTTGGATGTTATTATAAATATATTATGAGAGGAAAAAGAAACACGGACAGTTATCTTTGTGTCATAAAAATCGCACATTCATATAGAAATATTTTAAATATATATATATATGTATATTATAAACAGTGGACTTATTTTCTCAATAATTGAAAAAAAAAAGAAATGAAACGAATAAAAAGGAGAATAAGATCAAAGTTTAGAAACGAGTAATGAGACAAGTTAAAAAGTAAGATGACAGTAGTATCCATTGTAGAATTTTCATGGCTCAATGAGACGTGAGTTCAACAGTACCAGTTACGTGTTCACGCGTGAAATAAGACAAAATAATTGCTGATAAATGATGCTGAGTACGCGCACACATTCAATTATATTTTTTGTGTACTGCTGTCAACATTTCATTATCACTTTGTATTATAAATATTTTAAATTCTTTTGTATAAATGATCCTTATATTATATAATTATTCTAAAAAAAAAATGAGTAATATTAACCGTGTAGGTTTTTAATTACTTTAGTTTCTTAAAAACGTTAAAACAAAAACATCTTATCTTTGTAAACTTGAATATTAACATTGATCAAGTATAGTCAAGTTGCGAAACTGTTGGATAATTTTATAAATAATTTTTTTTTCTACGACATTTGACATAATTTTTGAATAATATTTTTAAAAATTCGTGAAAATTTGATAAAATAATTATAATTTTGGAGTAATATTTCAATTAGTCATTTTATTAGCAAATATTGTGTAACATTAATTATAAAATTGTCAGAATGAATTTGATATATTTTTTTACATGTTATAAATTGTAAATCAATAAATGGGTTATGTCCTCTATAAATTGTATCATTTTCAAGCGTCAATATTTCAATATTGAATTGGTCGTAAATGTGCACAATATTATGCTAATGAAAATTTTCATCGTGGTAATATTATAGAGTGAGATATAAAACCGGTTTATTGATTCAAGAATTTTCATTATAAACAAGGTGATGAAAAGTTCAGAATAAATGTCTTGACTGCTAAACTTTCTTTCTGTTTAATGAAAATAAGAGAAAATGAGATAATGACAAAAAAGAAGCACTTGAGTAAGAAAAAAAAAAATTCGAAAAAAGTAAATGGAAGAGAGTAGAAGAGTAACAAATAAATGTGGTATGATAATAATGTACGTAGAAACCGGAATAGTGAGCTACTGTCCCGTATGAAGAATATAGCTTCTCGTGCAGAGTGTACTCGTCGGAATTCCACGGCCATCTTGGCTGCCGCTTGAGAGGTGACTGCACCTTGAACTGCGCTCCCGAGATGCGAAGAGTAAAGTCGGGTGCTTTCGTATTCTCTATACTACTCTCTTTCTCTCTCCTTATCTATCCAATGTTACAGCTCTTTGTTCCTTCACTGCATGCTTCTCTTTAGATCCAGCGGCTACAACCGCGATCTAGCTATCGAGTTGCTCGATTTCCCATGCAACGGAATGCAACTTACGGCTGCTATTTCCAAGCCGTTTAAGCAGAATAATGCATTTATTTATTCCATTATCCATTTCCTACACTTTTCTATTTATAATTGGATTATAAAATTTATTTAAAAGACTTCCTTTATTTAATATTATTTAAAAATAAACGAAATTAAGCCTATTACTTAAAGCAGAAAGGAATAAAGATATTGATTGACTGTAGTTATTGTGATAAAGTACATTGATTACTTAATATACTTGTAACTAGATGACATTGTATTCCTTAATAGCTTAAATATTAATTTTGATTAAGAGAAATATTAATTAAAATCTTTAGTATCAAGTGAATTTAATTTAATATCCAACAGAATCGCAACTTTGATTCTTGTTATGAAGATTTTGATTTTGCTTTTTCATGTAATGAAAAATGGATAGGAAAAATATATTAATTCGATGAAGATAAAGAAATAAAATGGATGTATTAGTTAATAAAAAATTTAAAAAAATTAAAATTTTCATTTTCTTCTTGTGCATTAAAAAAACATGCATAAATGATTGTTTATAGGAAATGGAATTTCCGTATATGAAAAAAAAGAAAATGTAAAATTATTTATTTTTCAATGTAAACAAAAAAATTTTGACTGTGTAACTTTGATAGTTTTTTACTTTGTAAATTTTTGTTTTATATACTTGACGATTAGATGTTACTTAGAGTATATTTATAGATTGGATGATAATAAGTGTGTAGAAAAAAAAAATATATAAAAGTGGTGAAGAAAGGTCTTCAAGTATTCTTTAAAAGTTTCGTTATCACAAAAATCTCAAGTACATAAATGCAATAAATAAAGTTTAGTAAATAGTAAATTAGTAAAAATAAAAAAAAAAAGAATGTAAGTGAGAGAATGAGATAGTGAGAGAAAGAGTAGTGATAAAATATATGTAAGCGAACTCAAAATTATTTAAAAGAATAATGAGAGTGTGCGCGAAACTCATGCCGTTGTTAAAACGAAAGTGAAATATAATTATGTATATTTTAGGGGATACGTATCGTGTCATAATTTATCAGAATCTAATTAGTGTACAAAAGTTTGTTAGTAAAATATATTAATTATCATAATAATAATTATTATAAAAAATTATGTAAAATTTCATTTTAGAAATTTTATTTTAAAAAATTTTTGACAAATTTGTTAAATACTAGTAGAGATTTATGTGTCACTCTACTAAGTTTTGCGTATTAATCCTAGTCAAGAATTATAACAAGCGGAGAGAAAAAAATAGCAATGAAAATAGTGCGAATGAGCATCAAATAATGGTATGAAAATAAAATACACATAATAAAAAAATTTAAATAAACATAAGAATGCGACTTTGGTCGTACTTTTTTGTTGACTTCTATCCAATTGGTGCAGTTACTGTGTAAAATCCATTGTGTACACATCATTATAAGCCAAACAATGAATAAACAAAAGAAAAAAATTACCCAATAGTTATATGCAAATATGTAATCTTTTATGTCCTATGCACATGTCGTATTATCTTTCACGTATCCATTCCTGCATAGCATATGTTAAATATTTGAACAATGTTCTCAAATCTTAGATATTCTCACTTATTCTTATATATGTGATGTATATGCAAAAATGAAATATCACATAATTATATAAATATGTAGAGTATATCTATTTACTACGTAAATTTCAACATTTAATAACAATTGCGTGTATGAATGTGAGACCAGAATAGAAAAAAGAGCTCTATTGTAAAACAATCATTTTGAATTAAAATATTAATTGCATAGATTATTAATGAAAATAAAATATCATTGTATGGAGAGAAATAAAATATGGTACAGAAAAATATGAAATGTTGGAAATTTGTTTAACATAAAGAATGAGCCTTATAGAGGAAGCAATATGAAACAAAGAAAATTTTAAGAACATAAACCATTAAGCAATTTGAAGATTTCTCTTCACTGGTAAGAAAGAAAAAGTGTTATACATATTTCAAAAAATCTCTGTTTAAGAGTTAGTTATTACTATATAATTGTATACTTGTGAGTTCTTTAAAGGTTAAGTAATTCCTATTAGACATATAAATCACTTGAATAAAATTATTTATCATAAAATACATTATTTTTGACACTCATATATTATCGTATAGCAGTTAATTTTCGTAGCTTTTCAAACTCCTTCTCAATGATAGCTTTATTTTCGTGAAAATGATGTGCCTGGTAGGTTGCCAAGGATCTGTCGCCTTTAATGCAGCAATAATTTAGACTTTAAATCCTCAATAATTATTTCTCTTGGCAATCGTACTTTCATGCGTATAAGTAAAAATTCAGGAACTAAACTACGACATCAAAACTAAATGGGTAAATATGTATTAATCAATTTCAATTTAATTTCTTTCAAAAGTATACATTTAATGTTTTTATTACTTTTTAATGGTACAAACTTCTTTAAAGAATTACAAGTATCATTGTTGTAAATATTTGACGTACTAATGCTAATCTGATACGATAAAGAAGCACAAATTAAAAATAAAAACCATGAATGAAGGAATGGAATATGAAAGAATGTCATTAAAAACTATCTTTACTCAACTTATTCTATTGTATAAATAAAATAGTTCTGTATGGTGTAAAACTCTTTCACGTTTATGAAATTATGTGGCGTTAATTGTTGCCATATTACTCTCCATGAAATCCATTAATTTAAGTATACCACATATGTGCTAAAAAAAAACAAGTATGTAAATAATTGAACAAAACAGTCCTTCTACTTATAAACGTAAATAATGATAACGTAAAATAATTCTGATAAAAAAGGGCTAACGATTATTTGAAAATTGAGCGATTGAAAATTAATGAGGGAATGATACGAACAAAGAGAGAAAAGTTGCTATAAGATATAATAAACGCGCCAACTCTCATTTGTCTTTCAATTACCTTTGCAAATTATTAAGTAATTAGGTTGATTCACGAAGTACGATATAATATACCATAAGAATAATTCCGCATTATTTTGTACATAAACAACTTTATTGGAAATAATCAATAAATCTAATATACGATTATTGTCAAAAGAAAATGATTCTATTTATTTCAATAAAATTTGTAATCCCTACTTATTATGAAAATTAATTAATTAATATGCTTCAACTGCTATTATTTATTCTTTTTATATTGATTTTAAATCTAATTATAATATCTATTTATTTAGATTGATTATTTATATTAAATTTTTATAATTTTGAAAAAAAGTCTTGATTTAAATTAACGTAAATGTATGATTTTATTTTTGAAGAATTTACTATTAAAATAAGTTAATTACTCTTGGTTAATGAAATAATTTTGTCTTATACCGAAACGTGTTGAGATATGAATAATAATAAAGGTAATAATAATAATGTCTACCAGGGGAGATAAACTAGACATAATTATTTTCAAAAGGTAAGAGTAATTTTGTTATAGAAATAGTAACAGTGATTAAAGTTCCAAGGCTTTTGATAGCTTCATTGTGAGCACGATTTTCTGTCGTCAAAGGTTTAGAAGATATTAGAAGAGAATGACAAGAAGAGTATGCAGGGGGCTTAGTATCGCAGATGCATTTTCGCATAGATGGAGTGGTGCGTTGGAGTAATTAATGGCAGGCTTGCAAAGGCATCAACCTCCTATCTGTCCTGCGAATAGACGTGTGCACCCGTTCTACTAACCTCATCCTTTGCTTTAGACATGTGCTCGTTACTACGCGGGAATTAATGCCGTCGTCGCGATCCTCAGCATCGGCAACGCCCGAGGAATTTGGTATTATCTCAGTGAATGAACGTAGAATGAGATGAAAGGCATCATGTATGAAGCTTCATGTGCTTTGCCAGTTCTATTAAAGATTCATTTGATCATCATCATCATCATCATGTCATGTTGACTTGTTTAATAGCGTACTATATATACATTTATATATATAGATCTAAAGTTTCTGTTTTTCATCGAAATAATTCACAGATTCTGGCGACGTATAATTAGGATACACAATTACCTGTAAAGTATGGGTAATTAAAAATGAAATGTAGAGCAAATATAGGAGAATATTCGCGTGACTATTATAACAAGGCATATGCATTACCATAAGGAGCAAGTTTCCTAAATTATACGGCACGCACTGCATTACAACACAACTCCGTGATTCGGCCCATTAACTCCCTCCATGAAACTCATAGTAAGGTCGTTGGCGTATCCTTATACACCACGGTAATTAAGTATACATCAGAACTTCTTGTCGGATAACAAAAAGCGTTTAATTCCCAGGCATTCTCTATCCCTTACTCTGATGATCCTGTTGCCCCCACAGGAGTTGACTCCTTGCTCAGTGGTCTTCTCTGGTCGTAGCTCGTGCATTTCCCCTTGAGCGTCTGGATTCGAGTTTCTCGTGGTCGGATGGCAACGCAAGTTTAATATCCTGCAAAGAGACGTCTGCTATTATTCTACCGTTACTTCTATGTTGTACTAAAAACTCTGACTATTTTGAAGCTTATTTTCAAGAAGTACTTGTTCATTTTTTGTTATTAAAGGGAGTGTCTCACGCTTGGTAGCCGCTGGAGACGTAGAAAAAGAAATCTGATTGATGAAATACTCGTTTAAGGAATTCTTGAGCAATTGCAAAAGCACTGGTTTCTATTTATCCTTTCTCTTTTACTTGCTTCTTCTTCTTCTTTCTCCTCCTCCTCTTCTTCTTATACACTTCTTCCTGTACATATCTAAAATGAGCTTGACGTTCCTCGAGCATTCTTAAGCCGACACAAGGCGGCCACCACGACTTGCTAATATATATGCAAATCAAGTATTTGATAAATAATTCAGTTTTTTGGTGAAGTGTCAGATTCCAACAAAGATTAGAATCTGTACTTTTAATTCATCAAAATTAACTTGCATTTTATACACATATTTACATACTTTCACCTAGGTATAGAAGCTTTTATAATGATAAAAATTGTCAAATGATCAACTGTTAATTAGCGATTTTTTGTTAAAACATTAATTATTTAGTAATTAATACACCCTTGTTTTAATTATCAAAATAAGTAAAATAATGTTTAATTTAGTATCACTGTAATAGAAAATCGGTCTGATTAGAATCTTCATATGCTTGAAGAAAATATAGAGAAAAAATTAATCAGTGTATTAGTGATGAAGAGGTATAGAATCGATATGAGCAAATAGTTTCTATGTGAATGCGTGGATACGTGTACAGTTTGATAGAGTGGAATGTGCCAAAGCTTATGTAGCCAGGCATAGTTTCACGATTCTATGACGGCAGTTAGCAAACAAGACTAGGATCAAGGAGAATATGCACAATGGAATTTCGAGAGTAGATAAAGGTCATGTATTTATATTTACATTGAGCATGAAGATATAAAAGGATTTAAAGTAGAAAAACATGCCAGGCTGATTATATGAAATTAATTTCAAGTTGAAAGTGACGAGATGAGCGTGAATTTTTTTGTGGATAGAAAATGAAATGCAATCCGTTGTAGTTAACTTTATTCAACGAATAGAGGAAAAGCTTGGCGAGACGATGTTGTCAGTGGCTCACGCAATTTGCATCACTGTGGTTTTAGCATTGTAATGATATCTTGTTTGAGATGACAAGAGAAAAAGATAAAACGGATGAAGAATATGCCGGATAAGTTTTGTCTTAAATACAATAACCAGAATAAATCTGAAAATCTCTCTATATTCAACTTTCTGTGATGGTTGTAATAGTTTTCTTCTACATATTTATGGTAATATTTATATCTTCATAAATGAAAAAAAGAATCTTTTATTTTATTCATTCTGATACTTCGTATAGAAAAAAAAACAACAACAACTCACAAAGTTTGCCAATAACATGTTATATTATTGACATCAATTAATATTATTTTAGTTCATCTGTTAGAAAAATTTAATGGTCTAAATAAAAACATGAATTGATCCAATAAATGTTATATTTGCATTAGTAACTTTCAAAAATTCATATTTATAAGTAATTAATCAATTCTATCAAAATTTTATCTAAAAAAAATTTCTATTTTATTTATTAATGATTCAATTGAATTTGTAAAATTCATATCTATATTTGAAAATATTTAAAACCAGTCAGATTATTCATTTTTAACTCTTTTTCTCAAAAACAATATTTGAAATAACTTTCATTTTGTCAATAAGTATTTTATATAATGTGCCTACTTTCAATACTGACGTGTCTCAAAATGAATTAATAGTCGTACCAGAACTGTGTCTTCTTTTCGCTCATTACTTTGTATGAATTTAAGCTTTTAATATCTAATTTGCCTTGAAAATTCCGGATTAAATCATACCGAAATGTTTTATCATTAAGTATCGGTGAATTTATGAAGTAATTAAAAAATTTTTGTGTTTTCATTAAATTTGTTTATTACAGTTATACTCGTGCGGTATACTTGTCAAGTTTAAATGATATGAATATTAATCTGCACTGTTATACAATTGTTTCCTAATTGTACTGAGTAAGTTTTACTAAACTATTTCTCTCTGTATCAAAATGTATCCAATTTCAGCTGATGTAACACTTAGACATTTTGCACAAAACTTTATTTAATTAATGTGAATTTGGTTTAAAAAACTTTATCACTTAAATACTTCTAACAATTCAATGATTTTTGATTATTTAGAATTTATAACACTTTTTTCAACATAAAGCAATCTGATACAACTGAATTTTAAAGATTCGTTATGGTATAGAATGATTTCAATTTAGTCATGCATATAGAATACATTTATAATCTTTTAAATCGTTGCTCCAACGATTGTAGAGCTTTTTTAACATCTAATCTTGGAACGAGATGCCAGAAGTTGGAAAATATCCTCATTATAATACATCATCTTCGTATTCTTACAGCTTATTATACATATATGTATTTATAATTCATTTGATCCGATTATTTATATGTATAGTAAAAACTTTATAAAAAAACACAAAACTACCATACTGGCAAGTTGTTTAAAGAACATAAACATTTTACCATACAGTAATAATTTATGATCAATATTTAAAAAAAAAAATGTATGTCAGAAAAATATTAAGTAATGATGAAAATATTCCAGAATTTAATTACATGATTAAAATATTACACAAAATATTAAATACTAAAATGCAATATTTTCACTTGTACTTCACACAAATGCATCAAATTCTAGATAATATTGAAAAGATAATTGTAAAGTACCATGTTGATTTTATTTTAAATCAAATATTTATACAGAAAGTGACTGATAATACACATATCATAGACATCTTGTATTCAATTCGTGATGGAAATTTTATAATTTTATCACACAGTCGAGATAGAACTACTTCTGTGAAAAGTGATTGTACATTGTACGAGTTTTGGGGTTTAAGGTCATTAATTGTTCTTGTAACATTGATATTCATCGTTATTTGTTTCAAAATGGATAGAAATATAAATTTTACGGTACTTGATATCATTCGATTATTGATAAATTTAGAAATCGATGTATCTTTTGAATACTTTATAACTCGAAATCTGCTACAGAATGATTTTTTTATATTTTTTAATAATTCATGTCGCGTTCAGTGACCATATTGCCGAATTCATCTGCTCTAAGCAAGAATATAGATTCGATTGAGGGTTTAAAAAATTCAAACATCAAATCAAACCAAATATTTCATTCGATAACTAGACTTGATTTAAAAAAATATTTCTTAAACGCAAACAAAAAAAAAATCTCAAATTAGTTTTCGTGTGACTCGATTGATGAATTTGAAATTTGTTTTTGTTTTTAATTATTAGCTTCAGTTGCATTAGCATTTGTTTTTTGTTTGAAGATATAATTAGATTAACAAGAATCAAATTAAAAAATCAAGTTCAGAATATTAAGAAAACGATAAATTTGAACAAAATGGTTGAAAATCAAAATCTTCTTTTCACTAAAAGATAAAATAAGCATTAATTAATAATTGCAATTTTTAATTATTACTATTTTTTGTTTAATACTCGTAACATCTAAAAAATATAAGATTTACGGTAATCTACTTACTATTTTGCTGACTTGTCAAAAATTACCACTAATAATATTTCCAATTTGAACTGATAAATAAATGTCTATTTATTCTTTATTGAAGATTCATCTCCACGATAAGAGAAATACCCCAGAGAAGTTTATAAATATTAACAAAAAAAAAAATATTGATTGAAATATTTTTAGACAACGTAATAAACAACAAGTATCTGAAACTTTACATATGCTATTTATTTTGTTTGATCACCTCGATTTCGAAAACAGAAAACTACAGGATTCAATTTAATATAAAGACGAACAGGTATCACTCTTAGGAGAAAACTTTTAAAATCTTGAGACTACTTCTTCGGTACTCCTGCTACCTGGATACAAAATTGAGAATTTTTCGTATTCAAAGAGTTGAAGTCGGATCAGGTAGAAGTCAAGGAAATGACCACGGGCGCCACCTATCAACGAGTGATGCAAACGTTATTTTTATTTATTGTTGATAATGTAGAAAATTCGCTCATTTTTCTTGAATCTGTAAAATACATTGTTTATAAAATGGTATGAAAAATATAAATTTGTTGGAAAGATAATATAAAATGACTCAGAACAACAGTACATTTATTTATATATTTGTTTATTAATAAACAGAATTACCCAATAGTCTTGTGCTTGCGTACATTTTAATTATTTCATTCCAAAATTGATTTATACATTTGAATAAGCTAGTAGTACAGATAAATATTTTAAATAATTCCAAATATATCTTTTCATTAATTTAAATACAATATTATTTTATCGAAGCACATAAAAACCTTAATATACAACTGTACAAAAAGAAAACAAACAAAATTAATTATTTTCTTGGAATGTCAATAACTACTTTTTTACTGACATTTGTAAAGCTTATTACTTGTAAATTAAACGAAAAAGAACATATTGTTAATATGAAAAAATAACAAAATCAGAGCCTCGATAGTTTCACTTGAATATAAAAACATTATTTCTGATTATATAACTACTATTTTTTTGCTCTGGCAATACCAAGACCAATAATACTTGCAATACCAATAATCACACCTCCTGCTACAGCCATCCCAACAAAACCCTCTGAAAAAAGCAGTTAAATGAGTTATTTTATTTTAATCTTTGATAATAAGAATAAAAGAACTTACCTTTTTCCATTTTTTTTCGAATACATTTTTCTAAATCTTGTACTTGTGTGTTTCCAGGTTCAATTTGTAGAAATGCTCGAACATAATGAAGTGCTTTAGTGTATTCCTAAAAAGTATTAAATCAATAAATAAAGAAATTCATTATTTATTAATTAAGTAAAAAATATATTTTTGAATTATTTATTACCCTAATCCTTGCATTTCCAATAGCTAAGTAATAAAGACAATCTCTTCGCTGGCTTTCTTCATGATTGTTAAAAAGATCTTCTAATAAAATGATTCCTTTTTTAATATCTGCAGGATATTTACTCCTAACAAGGCACCAAGCATACTCGAATTGTGCTTTTTGAGTAACATTTGAAGATCGCAATTGCTCATTGTAAATATTTTCAAATTTCTGAAATTATAAAGATAAAAATTTAAACATATGATGCAATCAATTACTTTGTGAAATACAGCAAAAAATAGCTTATCAGCAAAAATTATATAAATTTTTTTTTCATGCAATTTAATGATTATTATCGCAACATATTGAATTTATAATGCCGATATAAATATTTTTTACTTCACTGTGCAAATAAATACTCTATTATTACTTACTTTTAAGTCATCTGGAGACACAACCTCATTCAATACGTCTTCCATTGTCAATTATCTTACGTTAAGCTAGAAATATTAAATGAAAATGTAAAAAACACTCTTCCTAATGATGATTCACTCTCAGCTCTACAAGTATTACAACAAAAACGTTTCGACAATGTCTCAATCTGAATACTCTGAAAAATTGCAAATTAATATAAGAGAATATTCTTAAGCTTAACTCGCAATCGCGACTGGGAACTACCGTATTTATTATATTGAAGACTAATTTTCATGTAATTTTTTTTAAGCATTTGCCAAAGTTTAAAAATTTATTGTTGTTACTATTTAAATTTATTTTTTACAGTTCATTTTTTTTTTCAATTTTAATCAATATGCTAATATTTGAATTTGGAATGTATATTCTTGTATTGAAAAAGAAAAAAAAAATTTACAAATTTTGCTGATAGATAATTGAATTCAATAATTCTTATTTTATTTCCAGTAATGAGTACTTATATTTTGAATAAATAAATAAAAATACATAGTATTATGTCAAGTTAGTTAACTTCATTTGAAATTATATTGTAGTTACAGGTGTCATGGCAATCACTGAAAGCGAAAAATTCAATGAAAATCAAACCATTTCATTATATTTTGATTGCATTTTTGATAATGAAGTAATATTTTATTTGCATTTTTATAACAATTTCATCTACAATACATAGAATTTTGTATATGGGAAACTTCTTCAAAGAAGAAATACAAACTTACATTGTTGGTCATTCAGAAAAACGTTTATCAGCGATCATTTCAACTTGAAATAGTAATAGTTCTAAGAATTGTGAATTTTATTCATCATTTATTGCTATTGAATTAATAAGAGTCATGATAGAACCGACTTTACAAGCACTATCGTCAATAAGGGTTATTTTGGCCAGTAGTTCACCACGAAGACTTGAAATAATCAAGAATTTGGTAAAAAAGGAATTTTTGAATAACAATGAATAGAACAATTATCGAAGTATTTAATTTTACTATTCATTTTTAGGGCATCAATGCAGAATGTGTGCCATCAACTTACGATGAGAATCTCGATAGAAGTAAATATCAAAATCATGGTGATTATGTAAAAGATCTGGCTACTTTTAAAGTTCAAGAGGTGTACAATAGGTTAAAAAATGATACAAATCCACCATCTCTTATAATTGGAGCTGATACAATTGTAACAATGGGCGAAACAATTTATGGGAAACCCAAAGATAACGATCATGCTCTAGAAATGTTATCATGGTAATTAAAACTATTTTTTTTGTATTGATTAACAGTAAATTTAAAGAATCGAGACCACGATAGAATTTATATTATCAACTATGGAATTTCGTCAATTTAAATTAAATTATCGAATAGAAATTCCAAAGAATAGCTGATATTACGTTGATTAAAATCAATTTTTTTAATGATTTCACTAGAACCAATTAGATATTGAAATTTATTGAAGATAATTCAGTATCTATTGATTTTCATTCGATCTAATCATGTAAATTATGATGAAACAAAATTAAAATTGGATTTTTAATTTATGAAAATTTAAATTTTAAATTGATTCAAATAATAAACTTATTTATTAATTTTTTTTCAGTCTTGCTAACAAAGAACATGTCGTATTTACTGGAATTTGTTTAAAAACTCCAGATCAAGAAATAACATTTCACCAGGATGCCAAAGTTAAAATTGGAGATATAACACAAGAACAAATTAAAGCTTATATCAAAACAGGAGAACCACTGTAAAATATTTTGTTTATCATAAATTAAAATAGTATCTTTATTAGATCAATGTTTCATTATTACATAATTTACAGGGATAAAGCTGGAGGTTATGGAATCCAAGGTGTTGGTGGCTGCTTGATCGAGAAAATAGATGGTGATTACTATACCGTAGTAGGGATGCCAGTATATACGTTGAGTAAATATTTAAATAATTTATTTGATAAATAAATTTGATGAATTCGATCCCGAAAATTGAATTAGCTAACTTTTACTCTTCTTTCCTTCTTTAATGGATATTACATATCTTTGAGCTACATTAAGTGGTGGAGAATATCCATCAGCATAAGTTGCATCTTCAAATAAAACTTCATACTCCTCAGTTGCTGAAGTTGGTAATTGGTTAACAACTGCTTTATAGAAACAAGTGGTTTGAGGATAAAGGGCCATCACTATCGAACCCTTTGGAAATAATGCATGAGAATCAGTTTCAGGATTAGCTCGCATCAAAGGCAATGGAACTACTCTTCGTCTCGATAATGTGTGTCGATCTTTTTGTTCTTCATCAATATCATCAACTTCGTATTTATTTGTAGCTGGATTGAAGTGAACTACTTCAGCTAAAATCCAGTTTTCTTCTTCTTCAGAGCCTTTGACTAAGGCTGCCACCATATCTCCCATCTTAGCGATGTATGTTGGCTCTGCTGGTACTGCTCCACAAAGTGGTGGAGCTTTAGCCCCCGGTGTTTTGCCAATATACAAAGGCAAAGTTGCTGCAGTACTTTGTAACATTTTCATCAAAGCACCTCTCCTAATCGTTTCCTTATTTCCAGCATTACGTGCTTGGATTCTTCTCTCATTTCTAATAGCTCGAATTTCATTTATTTTAGTTAAAGCTGAGCGAAGTAATTCTTCTTCTTGTTGAGCATCTTGAATTGCAGAGTTGTATAAGGTTTTTAATTTTTGTTGATAATAAGGTGTTATCTTGTCATCTGGCGTCACTTTTTCGTGCGCCTTTGTTATATTATTTAAATTCACTTCGGATCGATTTCGTTCATTTTCAATATCTCGTACTAACTGATAAATATTTTTCAATCGTTCTTGAATTTGATGAGCTGCTGCGTCAGCTGTGAATGGCATAATTGTAAGTTAAAAAATGTCTTAGATTATTTCACTTCTACACATATTTGTTTACTTTCGCAAATGAGGTTAAGTATACTCTGATAGTTGAGAAACGATAAAATTCATGAGTATGCGCCTAAATCTTTTTTCTTTTTCTCTATTATTTTCTTTTTCTCTCACACATTCAACTTTGTACTTATTTTTATTCATTTATGTAATATGTTGTTCATTGTATCAATTTTTCGTACAATTTTCAGATCATAATTAATACAAAATAATGCGTATAAATTAAGTTTTTATTCATTTCTTTGAAACAGTGATTATTATTTACGTTTTCCCTGCAAACTCAGCTGTGCGCTCTTTTCTACAATAATTACAAATTTTTTATTGAGACATGTGTATATAAAAAATGGCGTATATTAATGAAAACTTATGAAAAAAATAGTAATCCCAGTAGAATACTATAATCCACTAAGCTACTAACTAATCTACGATAAGTCCTAAATAAATACATTTAACCGGAGTAATGTAGAATTTTTAAAACCAAGTTTTTTTATGCTATTTTCTTGTCAGTTTTTTCAGTATTATTTCCGCTAGATTTATCTATTTGTGATTGAACATCATTCTTTGTCGTTGTACTTTTCCTTCTGTCAGATTTAAAATTAAAAACAGTAGGGAAGTGATTCTTCAAACGGTTTTGCCATTTTTGTGGAATGACCAATATTGTGGTTATTGCATTGCCAAGGAAAAGAATAAAAAACATGGCACTAAGTACTGGAACATGCCACGTTGCTTCAGGATGCGTCATTAAACGATAAAGTGAGTAGGCATTGTATAATTGGAAAAAGTAGCCGATAAATAAGAAAGGTAGAAGGAATGAAAGTCCACGCCACATCCATGAGTGAAAACCTTCAATAGTTATGTCCATATTATGGCGTTCTCCAAGAGCTTTAAGCCGATATAAAACTCCATGTTGATATCTAAATTGTAGATACTGAACAAAACCTTAAAAAAAATACATATAAGTAAATAAAATTACTCTTATTTTTGATTAATGATAGAGATAAACAAAATACTTTACTTATATAAACGTTGAACATCATGAATTGTCCTCGAAAAGCATACCAAGGACCAGTATTGGGCCAAACCAACAACACTCCTGATACTACAGTCGATAGAAAATGATGAAATCTCCACCAACCTTTAATTCTCGATCCATTTACTTTAAGAATGCTTTCTCTTATTGTTAAAGTACAATAATACCATACTAAGAGAAACATAAAACTCAATTCAAGCGTCCTGTAATGATAATAATTATTTTAACATGATGGCAAATCAATTGTCTTCTTTTACGATTATAATTGAATTGTAAGTTGTAAGTATTTAACATGAAATATAAGTATTCATTTCATTATTAATTCATTTTTAAATACCATCCAATAAAACAATTACCTAATATTTGTGAATAAATTCAAAACTGACAAAATGAATCCAATTACCGATAAGACCAGCTTGAATTTCTCATATTCGTCTTTGTATTTAAACCTTCAAATAAAGAAAAAAAATTAATGTCAGTAATCTGATGAGATATCATACTCAATTAGATAAGTAAAAATTTATAGGACTTACTTATCATTTTTGTTTAAAATAGAAACATTGACACTTCCAAGTATGATTGACAGATAAGTACCATTAGACTTTGGTAAACTTTGCTCCATCTCATGAATTTGATCTCTGCGCTTTTGCATTTCTTTGTCTATTTTTTGTCGAGTTTCACTCGCCTTTAATCTAGAAAAAATATTAAGAATATGTGATGAATATTGAGTAAACTATGACAAACAATTAACTTTTTATTCTTACTGTTTCAAAGATTTGCTGATAACACTCATACGATATTTTTGATGTGAAATGCCATTGAGACATTTGTTTTGTAATTCCGTTATTTCTTCTAGTTTTGCTAGATATTCTCTATTAAGAGCCTTAGAAAAAAAATCATTTGATTATTCAAACATCTAGTTATTTATAAATCAGAAGAAGCGATATCAATTATTTATGATATTAAAATAAAACGAAATGTATTCTTCTTTGTGTACTTACCTCCAGATCTTTAAAGTCTTTTGTAAGATCATTCCAATCTTTTAAACATAATTCTACGTCTGTATCCATGATGATTTTTGTATAAAAGTCGTTAGTAAATCGTGAATAATTGTATTGCTCCAAAATTTGTTTGATCTTGAATCATTTAGGGTAAAAACTTGAATGACTTTTAATCAAATCGTTTGCTCGAAATATCTAGAATGAAATAAATATTTTGATTTTATCAATGCCAATCACAATTAACTCTTTTTCGATAATAAATTGAACCAGCCGGTGAACTTGACCGGCTGGAAGTATACGTTGTGTTATTTCTAACCTCACAAAATGTTCCATTAGAATCTATCAAAAAAATGTTTTATAAAATAATCATAACAAATAAAATTTATGATGCACTATTTTACATGATATTCATTTAATTAATTGTTATTAATTATTTTATGATGAACAAGTGAAATCGTATAAATCAAAAGAATTATTTAATTAACGTAATTTTTGTGTACGAACAAGTATAAGTCTGCCTATTACTGTCTGTCGACTCTTTAGACTCAAGAACACAAATCCAAATGTGACAGTGTGTTAGTTGTATATTAAACGACAAAAATGACGCGTAGAACAACGTATCACGCTACCAGCTGGTCGTTTAAACTCACAGGTTTGTTGGTGGAATCAAACAGGAAGTTAGGAAGGGGCCGAGAGGAATCAAATGATTCGACAATTCATTCGGCAACGATCCACTTACCTTACTAACCATTCCTATATAGCCATCAAAAGCCCCCGCAAAGCTATCATGATACTTTTTAATTAATTAATTCACTTTGTTTATTTATAATCTTTAATAGTTTATTTGTCAACTTGATGCACTTTGATAATACACACATTATTTTTCATAAATGCAATTTATTTATGTAACTCTATTTATTATGAACCCGTTATTCAAGAGATCTAATTGAAATACTATTTAAATTTTAAATTCTTTGAAATTATGCGAAAAATTACCGAAGTTCATTCAACCGTCTTCCAGAGATTTTTTTGAAATGTATTTATACAATACAACTTATCAGGATATGTCATGCTGTCCTGGTAATATTTAAATATGCCTGCGAGGATTACTGATGATTGGTCAGCAGAGTCATTTTAAACCACCTCTCTTCAGTCGAAAGAATGTTATCTCACATCTTATCCTAGAGAGAAACTTGAGTTCTCATTTTCAAAAACGCAATACTCAGTTGTCTTCAGTCATACAGTTAAGCTCTACTATTTTTGCCATGTTTACGAATGCACTTAGATCCTTGGTTCATTCAAAAAAGAATTCCAAGTCAATCCGAAAAAAGTTTCATTGCAATAAAAGTCAACGATTTTATAGTGCGAATTTAGTGGAAAATACTTCAGTAATTCCGGAGTGTCCGAAACCTTCATTTTTACAATCATTTATTTCATTAATTAATTATGATCAGGCTAAATATTTACATGAAACAGTAGACAAAAAACATCAGTTGCTAGGACCTATTTATAAAGATCAAATTGGTCCAGTATCAGCTTTTTTTGTTAATTCATCAGAAGCTTACCAAAAAATTTTTAGATCGGAAGGAAATTGTCCAAAACATTTTCTTCCCGAAGCTTGGCTATTATACAACGAATTGCGTCAATGTTCTCGTGGATTATTATTCATGTAATGATTTATAAATATTTATATTCTTTTAACTGAAATTTCCGAAATAATTCAATTTATCACTGGCATAATGATCTTTTATTTTAGGGATGGTGAAGAATGGCAACACTTTAGGAGGATCATGAATAAGCTTCTACTTTTTCCATGTAATGCAAAGGAAATAATGACATACTCTTGCCAAAATGCTGCTCTATGTTTAGCCGAAGAGTGGGAAAAATATGACCAAAGCATACCAATGCCGAAATTAGAAACGCAATTATACAAATGGTCCATTGAAGGTAAAATATCCTTTACATGAATAGTACATTAGACAGTTCAGGAGAAATCTTTAATGCTGACAAATGTATTTTTGCCTGCAGTAATGATGGCAACACTAATGGGATCTAGTTGGGTTCACTTTAAAGATAAAATCATTAACGACGAAACTGACAGACTTGCACAGAACCTTCATAAAATTTTTTTACTCACTGCCAAGTTTTCATTGCTTCCGGTCAAGTATGTGATGAAATTAAATCTACCGATGTGGAGGAGGTTTGTTAATATAGTTGACGAGTCGTTGGGGACAGTGCAAATCTTAGTACCGAAAATGGCAAAGTATCAAGGAGACGGATTATTAAATATGATGAAGAACGAGGGCATTGACCTAAGAGACCTGAGTAGAATAGTAGCTGATTTGATAATCGCAGCTGGAGATACGGTAACGAAATATTATTCGAATGAATCAAATTTTTATTAATAGAAGAACGATCAATGAATTTTTTGTTTTTTTCCAAGACAGCGTATTCTATTCAATGGGTTTTGTATTTGTTAGCAACTCATCCGGATATTCAAGATAAAATTGCGTCAGCTGCTATTTCAATGACGGCTGAAGAAATAATGAAAGATCAATACCTTAAGGGAGTAATTAAAGAATCGTTAAGATTATATCCAACTGCGCCGTTTATTACTAGAATATTACCTAAAGAGTGTTCGGTAACTGGCTATGTTATTCCTCAAAATGTAAGTAATTTGAATTAAATAATAACTAATGAAATTTAAAGTTAAAAACAAATTTGAAACGAAAAATAAAATGTAACGAATGTTACAAGTGTGACTCATTCACTTTTCAAATTACACTGATTAATTGGTTGCATTTAAATCATCCATAATGAGTTGTAATTAACTATAATTAAAAAAAAATTTGTTTAGGAATTGATTGTCATGTCACTTTATTCGAGTGGTAGAAATGCAAATAATTTTCCTCGACCAAATGAATTTCTACCAGAACGATGGATCAGAAATGAACAAGGAGTTTATCAAGGAGTGATTAATGCTTATGGAAGTATTCCTTTTGCGTTAGGTGCGAGAAGCTGTATAGGAAAAAAATTAGCGGAAATGCAAATGATTTTTACAATTTGCGAGGTAAATTATTTCATGTGTATACATATAAATTATTTGCTAATAAAAATAATTAATAATAATAAAAATAACAATTTTTTTTACAGCTCATGAAAAAATTTCATATTGAATGTTTAAATAAAGAAAAAATAAAAATGATATTACATTTGATATCAGTGCCTTCTGAAGCAATTCAACTTAAATTTACAAAAAGAAAAGATAACAATAATAATTAATGACTGATTGCTTAAATAATTTTGTATTTTGTATACATGTATATGTATGCATATACATATATATTTTATCATACAGAAAAATATACAATTTTTATAATGAAAAAAATTTTAAATAAATAATAATATAAAGATAAAATCATTATACAATTCATGTGTTATTTAAATATGATGATTAATGTAAAAAATTATATTATAATGTGTGAGTTATACTTTTGTAAAAGTAATTAATAATCAATAATCAACTAATTAATCATTAGTCCTTATCGTCAATGGATGATGAAGTTTTTAGTGCTCAACAATTTATTCTGACAATCATATGTTAATTGTTCAAATTGGCATCACTATTCAGTTAATTTCTAACTAAAAGTTCGGTCATCACAATACTTCGAAGGTCTTGTAAAAATTCATCAAAATTTTGATCTACATAAAAATCTCGAAACGCATTCATTCGATCTTCGTGTGACATTTTTAGAGTTAAAATATTTTTAGCACAACAAATTTTGAGTTCGCTGCAGTAGTTTATTCTTGCCCAATTCCAAGCACGATTTAAATTTTTTGACGTTAATCGAGATATCGATATTTCTGTTAATTTGGCTGACTCATCGCCCATGAGATATTTATCTGCCAATAACGCTGCTTCTAAAAGAGCTTCAATCTTTATTTTTTCATCTTTATCTGATCCATTAAAAAGATGACCACTGGCAGCTAAACAAAGAGCAATAAGACCCTCTTTAGTAACATTTGGAAGAGAAACAGTCTGTTTCCCTCCTTCAGAAAAATTTCCTTCAAGCATAGCAGAAAAAAAACTGGATTTTATACACAATGTTTTTCGGCAAAAATTCACAGTCCTTCCATCATCAAGTTCAAACGTTACAGTTTTTTTATTTTTTAATTTATATGCATGTTCAACAGAATGATTTGAAAAATTAGAATCTGAATGTTTTTTCACTACTGGATCAACAGTGATTAACCGATTTTCAACAATTTCTGGCACAACTCCAAGTACATCTGCCAATTGACAAATGGATAAAATTGCATTTTTATTAAGTAAATGCTTTGGATTAGCAAGAAGTTTAAAAATAAGCTCAAGACCTCCATAGTTATCAAGAAGTGTTTTAAGCTTGTCTTTAGATCTTAGTAAGAATGGTACCGATACTGCTACTATGTATTTATCCGAGTCTTTTCCTCTTAAAAGAGTTGTCGAAAGACTACCAAAAGCACCTCCAGATTCCGCAACTGTACACAAAGCTTCCAAGTATTCTTTAAAATTTTCCAATAATTGTACTTTAAAAACAAATCCTTGAAGAAGTAAAGGCATAAAATAAACATGATTTCTGGTGATTCTATATAATATTAAAAGCGCTACACGATGTTTTGACGTATCTATATAGGCCATGAGTGCTTGAATCGTTGAAGAATCGGCAAGACCCTCTATTGGATCTGACCACAAGGTTAGTTTTACCAAAAGACTCAATGTCCACATATGAGCGTAATTAAATTTAGATGTATTTGGTAGTATGTCAAGCATAACACTACATTCGTCATCTCTTCCAATATTTGTTGATGCGTAACTCGTCAAAGAATCTACCTCTTCTTGAGCTGTATTTTCATCATTATCAATCCATTCATCAGTGTCACTGCAAACAGGACTATAATTATCTTCATCTAGAATATCATTATCCATATAGTGTGTTAATGGTGGTGAATTTGGTGGCGATGAAGTACTGCTACTGGGACTTAATTGGTTTGAATGAAAATCTAAACTAAACCGGCCATTGCTGGTTCGATTATGTTTAATTTCACCCGCACTAGCACTATCGTTTGATGATGACAGAACATCAGCTGATCTTTTACGTGTAACTGAATGATTTTTAGCTTCTAATCGATTGTCTAGCACCATTATTTTCAACCTATCGACTAATATATTAACAATACCATTTTTTATCATGATTAAAATACTATGCTCATCTCCGATAAACTGAGTTAAAGCATGAAGAAGAGACGGATGGTAAACTTCAATTTTGATATCCTTTAAAAGATTTAACATTAATTCAAGGCCTCCTGCACATCTTATTTTCATTCTATTCACAGCTTCACGTGCAAACAAACAAAAACTCTTGATTATTTCAGGCATTAATGATGATATTGAACCACTTGTTCTTTGGGTTTCTAAAATATCAATTAAACATTCTACGACTCCCACACATCCAAGATTTGGCCGATGATCAGCTACTTGACAGAGTGTGTACAGTAATTGAAAAGATGTTTTATTATTAGCCTTACAGAGTTCTGAGATACACGTGAAGCCACGTGAATTCATTCCATTTATCTGTTCACCAATTATCGGATTCGTTGAATTCGCAAAAGCTATCAAAGCTTTCAAGCATGCATCGGATAGTTGTTTATGTTTAGATGAATTTGATTGTTCCAAAAGATCTGCTATTCCTCTGATAAGCTGTAAATTGATGATTTCTTGTCGACTTTTTTCATTTGTAATCCAGATATTTCTAAAAAAAAAAAATTTTCTAGTGAGTATGAAAAAGTAGTATATTCAACAAATTACATATTTAAAAATTTTATAATTTTTTTTTTTACCCAAAAAAACGTAATCGATTAAATTAAAAGATTCAAGATAAATAATCTATTAGACTATTTCTTATTAATATTATAACGAAATTAATGATTCTAAAAATATCAATCTATGTTAAAAAAAATTAACTTTCATCCAACGATATTTTAAAGGTCATAAAGGCATCACTAGAATGTAACTTGATACTAAGATTATAGGCACACGTGTATGTAGTGAAGATATTGAGTCATTGACCTTATCAATGATATTTATGTTACTATAGCATGATTTGTTATGGATTTACTTTCTCAAGAGAACCTGTTAATGTTTTGTAATTAATCGTTTCATGAAATAAAAAAGCATTTTCTAAAAATATCAATAGATGGACATATTTTTTTAGAAATTTTATAATTAAGTGAAATTTAGTAATTTAATGATACGAATCGGTTTTCGAAACATACTAGAATTTGATAAGAATTTTTAACTCATTTACCTTACAGCTCGTACAGCCATCAAAAGTGTTGAGCTACTTGTAGAGTCTATGATAATACCATTTAATACATTTATAACTCCAGCTTCACAAAAAATTGTTGCATGACGTTCAGATTGAACTAAGTTGCTAATAAGTCGGCACGCTCTGCAATGAAGTGTTCCATTGGAATTGATGTTTTTAATAATCCAGATCACATTGTGAGCTAGTTTCGAATCCCGAACCTGTTAACATATTTATTTTTGAAAATTAATCTCTAATAGTTAATTAATAATGAGAAAAAAAAAATATTATAATAAAAAAAAAACCTCTTCTCGGATGCTGGATTCAAGAAATGCATTAGCTAAAATACTAAGAGTTATATCAAGAATCCGAGCATTTTGATATTTTAATAATTTGATTAAAATATCTAATCCTTTTCCTTTACAAAAATCGTCAAAAATTTTGGGATCATTTTTGACAGTATTAAGACAGGCAATAATGTCGTGTTTGGAGCGAGAAGAAACATGATCAGACAGTTCTTCAATAACAGAAGATCTTAATTTTCGATCGTGTAAAGACATGGTTGTGGCAGGTTGTCATCAGATTCCAGATACTCTCTATGTACCTAGATTGATTGACAACCTGCTAAAATTGCATTTCAATCCTGCACACATTATATGGACTTATCTTGACTTTTCATCATGCAACAAAGTCATTTATGTCATGGTCCTTTGTATGTGGGCTCATACAACTTCTAAATGTGAGTATACTATACGTATAGATATTTCCCCCTCCTTCGAATTTTTTTCCTTACTATTGAGTTCTTAAATGTCGTATTTTTCAATACCTGCAAGCAAATTAATAGGTAACAAAATCAATAAAATAATTGTTTATGCTCAAAACTACATGGAAAACTAATTTCAGCTCAAAAATGTATAAATATTTATCCATACCTTGATAATAGAATGAAAATGTACTATAGTTACACCAGCTGATTGGTAGGTCGATCACACCGACACACAAGCTCATATTACATGATAGAAGTTACTATTCTCACCATGAGATGTCAGTAAAATTTGTTGGGCAAAGCAGCAAGCAAGCTGTAAGCGAGATAAGACATTTGCAAAGTTAAAGATAATTTAATTAAAGTGCAGGAGAAACCGCCCTTTTTTATACTCATTCGTAATATTTTCATAATAATTATTACGCATATATCAGGTTCCATTTAATTATTAAATGATTGTACTATCATTAATATATTATTTTTTATAAATAACTCAAGTGATTACATGGTTATAATCAGTTTATGAATAAACTACGCTCGTACGCACAGTGAAATTATCGTAAATAAAAATACTACGATACATTAATAGTAAGGAGGCGTGTAAAACGTATTTTAAGATTGTATTCTATCTTTAAACTTGACCAAATTTTAATTTAAAAGTGATACACGCTGGTTATTGCATCGATTGATTGGTGATTATCTCATAAATAAAGAATACCCCATAAAGAGAGTTGCCATGCATAAATTGAGCTTGATTGTGCTTTAAAAAATTACTGGGACAAGAGCAATGAGTGTTTTTGGTGACTTTCAGAGAGTCTGGGTCGAAAGATTTCCAGACAGCGCACTTCCTGCCGCTTGGGAGGAAGACGTGAGGGCTAATCTCATCAAACATAAACAAAAAGTAACGGTCTAATAATTTTTTATAATAATGTTTATAATTTATTTTTAGTTTAATTAACGATTATTCATTACGATGATTTTTCAGGTCGCTACACTGAGAGAAGAGCTTGAAAAAGAAGAATTTTATGTAGAATATTTAGAGAGGCTGTTAGCGGATGTTGAACATCATAGGAAGCTTGCAGCTAATTCCAATTCAAGCTCAGTAAATGTTTCCCCCTCTTCTAAGAATGAACAAAGACAAGTTCAAAGGATTTCAGAGACAAACACTGAAGAATGTACAAATTCGCCAACAGCTGAAACAGTTCCTCTTTTACCAGTTAGAAAAGATATCAGTAAGTTTCAAGACAAGTGTGTTTCTGAACTGAGTTCTAGTTTAAATTCTACACGAAGACCTAAAAGTGAAATTCCAAAGAGTCCTGTAAAAACTTTAGATGAAATAAGAAGAAACAGTGATCCGGATATACCTAGTAATTATGTGACAGTAATCGAGGTAACAGGGAGTACAAAAAAAGACAAGAGTCAAGATAAAGAGATAAGTGAAGAGACTCAAAAAGATAAGACGGAAAAAAGAAGTGACGATGCCGAAGATGGTGATGCTGAAGTATCGGAAGAAGAGCCATATTATGATTCAGTTGCTTTAGACCAAACAGGAGAATATGTTTATATTGACGCACGAATTCCAATAATCAATAACGATAGAAACATCAGAAGACCACCATCTCTGCCTGATTCACCGGGGAACCGTAGCAATTATGTTAATATTGATTATTTCATTCAGCATCGAACAGCTGTTGACAGTGAAGATGAAGAAGCGGCTAATTCAGCTCCTCCAATTCTTTTAAGAGCTCTCAGTACTGATAACGAAACCGGAAGCAGTGATGCAGAACCTTTAAGTTTAAGTGAAGGTAGTCTTGAATCACCAACACCAACAACTCCTCGTAGACAACTTAAAGATCATGAAGATGATAGAGTTTCAATGGTCAAGTGTATCATAAATTCAGTGGTAGAAAGTGAAACTGTTTACGTTGAATGCCTTACAGTAATGTTACAGTATATGAAAGCTATTCGTGCAACACTGACTACTTCTCAACCTGTTATTTCCGAAGAAGAGTTTGGTACAATGTTTTATAAAATTCCAGAACTTCATGCTTTGCATCAAAATTTCTTAGACGAACTTAGGGGAAAATTAGACAAATGGGATAGTAAAACGACAATTGGAGAGCAATTCAAAGTTATGGCAAGTAATATTAATCTTTATGGAGCATTTTTACATAATTATGCACGAGCTACAGACACTGTGAGAAGATGCTCAGCTAATTCAGCTCAGTTTGGAGAAATAACGAGGGATATTAGACTGCGAGGAATTCCAAAGGGTCCAGGTCTTTCTTTAGAAGATTTATTACATAAGCCAGTAGCTAGAGTTCAAAAAAATGCTTTGGTGCTTCATGATCTTTTGAAACATACACCTGCAAGCCATGCAGATCATGCTCCTCTATCAGAAGCTTTATCAATGACAAGAATTTTCCTTGATGAGTTTAATATTATCCAAACAAAATCAATGTTTCCAAGTCACGATCGAGCGCAAAGAAGACTCGTTAAAAATTCGTTCATTGTTGAGCTTACTGACGGCCATCGAAAGCTGCGACATTTGTTCTTATTCAACGACGTAATTGCTTGTGCTAAATATAAAGCATCTGGAAGAGATAAATTTACGTTTGAATTAAAATGGTACGTTCCTGTGGCTGAAGCTGTTGTTGTTGAAGATGGAATTGAACCAAGAGAAACTAGTCCAGCAAATGTTGTAGCCTTGAGGTCTCAAGCATGCACGGTCAGGGATCAAATTCTTTGGGAAGAAAGAAACGACGAGAAAAAGAATAGACTCGGAAGGTGTTCAGAGAAGCATAGAAAAAAATTAGCTGAACTTGAAGCTCAACTTGTTTTAGCATCTCCTAATCTATTGTTAAGAGTGTCACATAAGAATCAACATAGAGTGCAAAATAGTTATACGTTCTTCCTGTCAAGTGAATTTGAAAGATCTCAATGGATTGAGGCTGTTGAGGCTCTTCAACAAGGTGGCCAACCTCCAGGGTCTTTCCCACTTTCTATGTATGAACTTCAAGCTTGGGTTACAGCTTGTAGAACTTATTTACAAACAGATATGGGAAGTTATCTACTGAGATCTGGCAGAGATGAGAGTTTGCTACTTGGAGACTTACATCTCACTTTATTAGGTTTAACGCCACCTGGTTTAGATCGACCGGGAGATTTATACATCGTCGTTGAAATTGATAGTTATGGACACTATTTTAAAAGAGCTAAAAGTAGAATTGTGAGAGGTCAAGCACCTACATGGGGGGAGACATTTGTTGTTGAGCTTGAAGGAAGTCAAAATCTCAGAATTTTACTTTACGAAGAATGTGCCGGAAGATCTGTGTTAAGAGGAAAATGTACTCAACGTTTGAGTCGTTCTTGGTTGCAGGCAGATTCCATTGAAAGGTCTTTGAACGTTGGACCAACCAGTTTAGATGTAGGATTCAAATTTGTACCTTCAGAAGTAACTCTCAGAAGAGTTCCTTCAGCTAAACCTCAAGGACTTTTTGGCGCAAAAATTCAACAAGTTTGCAAGTATGTATTTTTATGTTTACTTTATAATATAAAATTTTTAAAAGGGAATAAAATGGAAATGATATTCCCTATAATATTATATCTTATCGAATACTTGATAAAAAATGACTATTTCAGACGAGAAAAACGCGATGTTCCATTTATCATAACAGCTTGCGTGAGGGAGGTAGAGAGACGTGGAATGAGCGAAGTGGGACTCTATCGGGTATCCGGCTCAGCATCTGATGTCACAAAATTGCGAAAGTCTTTTGAAAGCAATTCATACGAAGCTGAACAATTATTGAAAGAGGTCTGTTCATGCTTGACAACTGACTCATGTATTATATTACCAAAATGAATCATACTACAACGAATGATTATTTTTTTTTCAGGTTGACGTACACTCGGTAACCGGAGTTTTAAAACTCTATCTTCGTGAAATGCCTGAAGCTTTATTCACTGATGCACTTTATCCAGCATTCTTGGAGGCCTTCCAGACCGGTGAGCTAGCGCGTAGCATGGCACTTCGTAGGGTCTATGAAAATTTGCCGTCCGTCAACAAGGCGGTGATTGATTTCCTGCTGGCACACTTACGACGGGTCAATAAACATGAAACACAAAATAAAATGTCCTTGCATAACTTAGCGACAGTTTTTGGACCAACACTTTTACGTCCTGGTACAAGCAATTCACGTTCAGATCCAAAAAGTCGAGATCCACTTGCAGCTGGTACCGTAGACGTTATGGCCCAAGCGGGGATACTCTACTGCTTTTTGCAGATGAATATTGCCCCGCGGGAAAACAATCAATCGCTTTAATCTAGTCCTGATAATGAGCAACAAATAATCTTTAATATCGACACTATCGATTTTATTTTATTATATTATCTTTTACTAAGTTGTCAGTAAAATAGCAAATTTATTGGAATGCTTTTAAGAAGTAATCAAATTCTGGTGAATATTAACGTCAAACGTTAAATACATGAGAGGTATTGCTTCGTAAATGCACATTTCTATTGTCAAATATATAATATAAACTTTTTCCTAAATATCTATACGTCCTTGTCGCAGTTGTTTATTCAAAGCTTTGCGCAGGTTAATGCGTATTCATTCATAGAGACTGATAAGCCAGTAATAAAGTTTAAACTAATCTGTTTTAATGGATTTACATTTTTGGACAAATATATATTCTATATAATTCGTATTTTTACACGAAAGACACGCGTGATATCGTGTACTTTATAACTATTTTTTAATGTAGGTATAGTGCCAAAAGAAAAAATAATTGATAAAGTTTTGTTGTAAAATTGATAAAATTCCAGTGAAAAATATTCATCTAGCAGAATATCTCAAAGCCAGATAATGTTTGATTATTCTTAAAAATTGTGGTTTTAATAAATTTTTACGCACAAGGTGACTTAGTAACAGTTTAATTAGATTTAAGATAGGATTAACTGATTAATTAGTGAGATATTGGCCAAAAAAAACAATTGATAAACTTTAGTTCACTTGGTTTTGCGATATTCTGTGCGAAATCAAATAATGTAAAGGAAACTTGATAGAAACAAGTTCACCGTCCACCAAATGACGGGAAAGTGTATTATATTCTATATATATATAGTATTCCTGATGTGAAGAACAAACTTTTATAAGAATACATATAAAACAGCTGCCAGATTTTTTTGTACATTTTTAATAAGCATTAATCCAATGATGTAAAGACAATCGACATACATCCGTGATAATTATTGTTAATGTACACGGTGATGACGATTGTGATATATTACTCATTACATCTTAATAAAAGATACCTTTGGTAAATAAATCTGTGAAACATTTCTATTCAGTTGATAAAAAGTTTAAATGTACTATTAAAAAGCTGTAAATCATCAAAAAAGTATTTATGAATTTAATTTAGCCAACAATTTGTAATGAACGATTTCCATTATACAATCTATTATGTATGACTAGCTATGTTTATTTAGATATGTCAATTTAAAAAAAATTAAAAGTATTTTATCGTGCTGATGATAGTTATTCATAAAACTAATATTTAATTTTCGATTAATAGTCTATTTTAAACTTTTTACTCAACAATCTTAAAGAACAATAATTTACTTTGTCTTTACATATTTAAATATACTATTATTCACATTGAATGATCTAAATTGTTATCATAATTAGACAAATCATGTATATCATGACAATCTCTGGCTGGTGGAGGTAAAGGTAATCGAACTTGAATCGTAGCTATATTATCCCATAGTCCAGGTAAACGAGATCCATCAGAACCATTGCATTGCATTCCTATGAGACATTCAATACTGTCTTAAATGAAACAAATTTGAGGAAAAAATTATTGCATTAAAAATATACCAAGTGGTGCAGCCTGATAAAGATCATGAAGAGCAGTAACTCGAACTTTGGTCCATTCAATATTTTGATAGCTTTTAGAGATGGCATCATCAAAATCTGTTTTCTGATTTTCCCATTCTCTCAAATATCGGAAGTAAGTACGTAAAGCGTCATCACTAATGGCACTTTTACAAACTTCCAAACGAGTGTTGGGGTAATAATGGATATAATTAACACACATTTCATCAGATATAGCAAAGCCACCAAGTGTTACGTTTGATCTATCTTGAGTATTATATGTACAAGTTGTTATCAATGAATCACCCTGTAAATCCGTAAAAGTATTAATCATTCATTATCAATGTACGATCGTGATAATTAAGTAAAATTTTTTATCAGTTTTTGATCTTACTGGTAGAACATGTACAGGTTGAGGAAGTAAACGAATTTCCTGAAAGTGTGTAGAATAATGATTATCATAATTTAACGGAGGTAATTCACGTCCATCTCTAATATGTCTAGTACGAACAGCCGTTCCAGTTAAATGAGTATGTAATTGAGATCCGAATACAAAAATTCCACTCTGAGGTAAACCTACGCCTGTGCATTCAGATATGCAGTGACCAGACAACTCAAATAATTCCTACAATATTATTATTATTAAAAATTCTATCTATTGACTAAGTAATTAATCATCTACAAGTAAATAGAACATTCTAGGACATAATTACTTGATGAGGAGGAATTGCCATCTTATCAATGTACTCAAGGCCTAATTCTATGACGCCAGCGTCGTATTTTCTCAAAGTTTCTGTAAGATAAAATTCTATTCCTGAGGAGTCAATGGCACCTTTTATACGTTCTGGATTATTGTAATGAACTTCAAGCATCACATAAGGATTAAAGGATTCTCCACCAACTGATAGACCAGCTTCTTTTGGATAAATGAAAGCATCTGCACCCATTGCCCAGGCTGCCAATACTTTTTTACAAATCTACAAAATAATAAAAAAACAATAACTATTATATGCACTATTAGTATTTTAAAACAATAGTCAATAAAACTTTTTCAACATACTTGCGTTGCTTGAGGACGATCAGGAGCAGTACAAGGACCATTATAAAGTGGAATTATGGCATTAGCAGGACCTGCACAATGAAAAACTTCCATATGATGAACTAAATGCTCATTTCCTTTTTGAATTACAGGGCCAAATTGAAGAATATGATGTCTATAAAATATAATATAAACATTTATTCATTAGTAATATTAATAATGATTAACATGTTCTCATAAATATTATCAATTGAAACATACTTTCGTTTTAAAGCTTTCGGCAGTTTTTCGACTCTACACCAATAAGTAGTTTCTTCGTCAGGAACATTGACATGATCAGCAAGAAGATCATGTTTCCATGTATCAGATGGAAATTTAGGTTTCTCATGAACTACAAGTCTCAACAGTTCAGTTCTTGACATTCCAGAAGCGGTCGCATCATTGATAATATTGAGTCCTTTTAGAGATGAAAGCGGACCCCGTCCTTTTGCCCAAACAATGTGGGTGGTACCTCTCTAAATCGTATCACACTGATGTAGTATCAAGTTAAATCATAACAATAATGAGGACATAATAATCTCTTGTTTGATATTTTGAGCCTTATACTAACTTCGATAACATAATCTTGTTCGTCACACGTGTCAAATTTACGAGTAAACGCGAATTTAGTTACATTTCCAACTCCAGATCGTTTCCATACAAATTCTTTACAATCTTGTTGTAAATCAATTTCAATAATTCCTTTTTCATTCGCTTGAGCATCCTGAAAATTTTTTTAATTACAAGAATTTCCCGTTATTATCCATTTAACTGTAAATCGAATATACATACATGAAAGTGTACGTTTAGATGCCAATCAATCCAAAGCACACAATAATCGCTAGGCTTGGCTTCTCCACGGTCTGAAAATCCCACAGCAAACCAAGAATGATCTTCTGATACATAATGAACTTCTATTTCTACGGTTTCTTTAGTTGGTTCCACTCTAAATTTATCGTTAAGTCATTATCATATTTATTTATGCTTACTTATGTTTCAGAGAAAGTTTGAGAAAATCTAATACCTCCAATAAAAAGTAGCTTGAGATCCCAGAGCTACAGAATGAACTGGAAATCCGAGGTGATGACCATTTTGGTATGCTAAACTCAAGCTTATGCCGAATAGAATAATAATCAAGGTTTTCATCACTGTGTCTAATCAAGCTTTTGATCCCTTTCAAGTTAACAGATTCCTCTCGAGATGAGAACTGACATTTTTGCCGCCCTGAAGAATTTGTAAAACACCGCAAGGTGCAAAGCGCACGCTTCAAAACTTGCTGAGCACGCGCGAATGTCTTCCCTTACTTAACTTTCTCCATGTGGATCATCAGCTTTCATCTGCAAATAAGAAAGAATATACAACCAGGTCACATTCTATTGAAATATTTGAATTAATTCCAATGATGATTTGGTTGGTTGATAAATTAAATTTCAATAAATAATACAAAAAAAGGAAAAATATTGACTTATTAAATATTTGCTTTCCGGGTTTTAAATAAAGAAAATTAAATAAATGATAATTCATTGGGAGATATGAGAATATGCGGTAAATTAAAAATTGATATGAAATTCTTTAGAGACCTACCACAAAAAATTAGTAAAAAAGATGTGAAGAATTCTAGTGTGGTATGATAATAAAAGGGTGAGCTTCTCATCGTCTTCATTGTTTGATGAAAGGGCATCTCCCAATAAAGAAGCAATCAAGAAATTCCTAAACGTGCTAGCATACTTGGCATTTTTTCCTTCATCAAAGCCAGAAGTAATAACATCACTTGAAAAAGTTAATATATATTATTTACTTCAACTAAAACAGCACAAATAAGTCTCGATTAATTTTAATTGAAACGCATGTACTTTGATCGTTTTATTCCCTTTCTTATTCATATCTTTTTCTCTCTTCTCCCTTTTATATAAATATATTTATATATATATATATTCATTTATGGTCAATGTATTTCATGACAAAGTAAAATTAATCCCTCCCTTCTAGACTCTTGTTACTTTCTGTTGAATTGACTAGACACAATGTCGATGGACAAGTTTAGAAATAAAATCCAACAGAGGAAGCCGATAGACAAAATACCTGGATTTGAATAATAAAAACGCCCTAGTAGTTTGATCTTTGGTTGAGTTACTAACTCGAGTATTTCAATACATAACTCGATACAGACTTCCCTCTCCCTATTTTTCATTTGCTCACTGTCTTACTTTGGAGCAGAGACAGCAGGGTCTAGTCTTCTTGCTCGCACTGGGATCATGGGTAGGCGACGAACGGCAAGTCCACACAAGCCTACAGTCTATCGTAGTACGTCAGTGAGACAGAACCAGAGACAGTCATCACATCGTACACGCTTGGACTTCAGTGTCGGAGCAACTGGTCCATTGCGATCCCACGGTCAGCAATTCTAAGTTTTGAGGAATGTAATCTCTATGTACATCTCTTCGTTATTTCCTAAATGTAAAAGGGACTATCATCAAAAGATGTAAGTTTTTGTTTTATATTTTTTAATTTTAAAATTCTAGTTTACTCAACTTCCTTTTTTTCAACTCAATGATTTTGTTTTATTTGAAACAATTTATTTTTGTAAAAAATTTTACTCTTATAATAATATATGTAAAAATATCATAATTTGAAGTAATTAATAGGATATTAAAAACTGAAGTAGTGAAATATGATCGGATTAAACGATTACTAGATCTTTAAGCAAGAGACCACGAGGTCATGGTAGGGCGCCGCCGTTGTCGTCAGAAATACGCGCCATTAATTTGTGTAATGATAAAGATTTTAAGCGGCTGTATAAACGTCAGAAATGAATCACAAATTATTATCACCTACAAATGACACGTGTATTTCAATATATTATTTTTTCATATATATTTTTATCATTTTTATACCTTAATTATTTTTAACACGAAATAAATGTTAATTCTAACAATAAAATTATTAAACCAAAACTATTGTTAATACAAAAAGAATCTACTGAAAATTAAACTAAAATTTTGAAACTTTCTAAATTCTTAACTTTATGACATTTTCAAAGAAATGCAATAAAACTACGGGCACCGACTTAACGCCCAAATTTCTCAACTTTCCACGTTGGAACCTTTGTCCTACCATCAACCATAGTACCTAATGCACACCATTTCAAATCAATTGTTATGGCTTTAGAAAACAGAATATTGCAACGCTCAAGATTGCTACAAATTGCAAAATATGATGAAAATACTCAAAGGAATATTATACTAAGTTTGCTAGGTTGTCAAGCAGATTAATTAACAACTAATTATATACGCAATTTGTTACTTGTTAGACTAGATTGCAAAACTGGCATCAAGATCATCGTTACCACCTTATAATTAATAATCACGACATTGAATTAAATCATACCAATAGTTAAATCAATTTGCTACTGGCTGATAGCTTTCAACTTATATAATCAATAATGATTAATTATTTATTAATTTTTTATGATTAAAAAATGTTGTATTAAATTTTTTCCAGAGAGTCAAGCTGTGAATTATACTGGAAATAAATTGGCAGTAGTCTGCATCGTTAATAGCGGACCAGAGTTTGGAGAAAAAAATCTGTAATCGATGGGTTGAGAACGTCCCGAATGTCTTTGCCATTGTTTATATTGACTGATAAATTTTGGATGAAACTGAGAGATCCGTAGAAAGATTATCAACGACGTAGCTTACAGATGAGACAAAATGTTGAAGGTTGTAGGAGCCTCGTGGCTACAAACCCGCGTTTCCACTTACATTCTTGTTGCTGTTGCTCTGCTTGGCATTGGTGCTATTATTCTCAGTGAATTTGGAGGGTGAGTGTTTTTTAGTCTGCCAAGCATGTTAACATTAATATCTTTATTATAGAAGTTATAATATCAATTACAACTATAGATTTATTTATTTATTTAGAGTAAATAATGATGGAACTTACTCAGCAACAGTCACATGGAATCATAATAAAATATATCGTATTGAATTTTGGGGTCAAGGAAACGACTTAGAATCTCTTCCTAAAGGTGCAGCAAGAGCTTATTATAAGACCAGAATTCATGAGACTGGTTGGTCTTTGGTAGAAATCGAAACATCACCAATGTATCCTGATACAGTTCAAGCTTATTCAGCAGGAATGCTTGAAGGTAGCTTGACTTGGCAACTGATCCATCATCATTGGTTTAACACAATAGGCATTGTTTGCACTGGAGATTTGGAATCCACCTGTGATAAAATTCGTCAACGTCTTTTAGAGAATTATGAAACATTAAAGACTAAAGCGAGACTTCTGGAAACAGAAGATCCATTTTGGCATATCATTCATCTATTTTATGTGCAATTAGAGGGCCTAGAAGAAGGCTGGAGGTTTGCTGTTCGGCGTAGTAGAAAATCGTTTGACATTCCAAAAGCAGATTTTCTTTGGCTAGCAATGGCATCTGATTTACCTAATTTTGGAGTAGATCATGATGATATTAAAGGGAAAATTTTTCTTAAAAATGTCACTAATGAAGATACTGATGCTGAATCATTTTTTGCTATTGTACACAATACTGTTGCACCGTAAGTATTTTTTCAAAATAATTATATTTATTAAATTAATCAATTAATCTTAAAATTGATTTTAATAAAATAATCATTTATTTGTCTTGCTGAATTTTCACAAGGAATGGATGACTTCTGGTACTGAGATAAGCTATCTATAGTTGCATGCATAAACATGTAAAATAAATATTTTGGCTAAATAATGATACATATGAAATATCCTAAGTAACAATTCCATCAAACATTATGTATTAAAACAATATTTTTTTTGAACTCGTATTATTGAAATAATGATAATGAACAGTAAATAGAATACAAATTTTTGATTTGATAAATCAATTAATATTTGCCAAATTAAAATCTTTTGCCATCGGTATTTTAATTTTAACTATAATTATTTAAAAATAAAAATTAATATAATCTACAATTTTATTTAGATATAGAAAAATGCTGAGACTTCTAAAAAAGTATACATTTGGTTATCACGAGACCGGAGCAAAAAATTCAAAACGTCTGGCAACTCGATCAGTTTCAATCTCATCCTACCCTGGAGCTTTATCATCGCAGGATGAATATTATATCCTTTATCGAGAAAACAATAAAGATCTGATGATTTTAGCTGGTACGTCTCTCAATCTACAAGAAGCCAATAATATGGATAATTCGAACAATAGTGAACGTGAAGATACGGCATCCAATACAAAAAACCTTGAACTTGTAAGTATATCAAGTAAAATAAAATTATTATTTATTCAATTAAGTTGCTATTTGATATTGTAGGATATCGCAATGACTCCAGCCAAGATAATGGCAGCGAACTGGCTGTCATCTGATGCTCACACCTGGTCACGTTTATTGGCAAGACGAGAAGATCCAGGAAACCCTTGGAAGCCTTTTCAATGGGTCATTGTTCGACCAAACAATCTGTCTGTGTGGCTTGTTGAACAACACCCGACTGCTACTCATGTTGTAGAGTACACAGACAGGTTGAAAGAAGAAGGTTATTTGTTTTGTGATGGAAACTCATTGTTGGTAACTTCAGAGGAGAATGAAGGGTTGATTAAAGTCAAACAACGTGGTGAATTCGATAAAACGATGGTAAATACTTCAGAGATTGATGATCAATTGGATATGCAGGAGAAGAGCCATGAAGGAATATTATCACCTAAAAATCGATCTAGTAGTTCTCATTCAAAACTGTTATATGATTTACCAAGTTTAAAACAAGTCATGACTTTCAGAGGAGATTTTGAAGAAGTACCAGTAGCAATGGGAGTTATTGATTCAAAAATTGCTTTAGTAAATAATAATGGATTACAACAATTTGATGCTACATGTGGACCTGCTTGGTCTGAAGAAAAAGCTGTTTTTCAATGGTCTGAATCTTTTCCGAACATTCCTCATATTGGTCAACCTGATAAATTTGATTTTGAAAGCATGACTCCTTTGTGGATTTGGTTTTAATATTTAGACAACTGATAAATACATTTTATTGGCATAATATTTTTTAAATCAAATCGATTTTCTATGTAAACGCATAATTTTTTACCCTCAGAATAATTAGTTTATTTATGTACTATTATGAACTATATTGACTCATAAGTGAGCTACGTGTAGACAATCTTTTTTTTTATGAAATAAAATATGAAAATTAAAAAAATATATAAAAAATTTTTTTTATTTACCTTTAAGGGTGTTTTTTAGTGAATAAACTAATGAAAAATCCCACTGTATCACTTTCGAGGCCAAATCGGAGTAAACAGCTTGCTTTTTCTTCTGGTAAATCATCGATGCAGTACCCTTGCGATATTGGAAAACAATCAAGACCGAGAGAATTCAATTTTTTTCTTGCAGAAATTAATTGAAGACCTGGATATTTCTTTAACGCCCAAGCCACAATTCCTTCATTCTCCGATATTGTTATTGTACATGTTGAGTAAACAAGAAATCCTCCAGGTTCCAAAAGTTCGATTGCCTATTATTGTAATATCCATTTATTAGAAGTACTTTATTTTAATAGAAATCATATAGAAACTTACAGCAGCAAAAAGTTTCCTTTGTAGCGAAGTAAAAGATCGAAGTTCATTTAAACTTATTTTATTAAAAAGCTGAGGTCGTTTTCCTAAAACACTGCAGGGTCCATCTAATAGAATCCTTTTAAAAGTTTCTTTTTGAAACGGAGGTCCATCCATTAAATTTGTAGAAGAATTTTTTTCTAAATCAGCAGCTTTAGTAGCATCATAACAAAATATTTTTATATTTTTACAGCCAAAAGTGTCACAGTTGTTTTGAAGTTTGGTAATTTTCGATTTAATTTTATCCATTGCTATAATGATTCCCTCATTTTTCATCAAAGCAGAAAGATGAGTCGTTTTGTTTCCTGGAGCAGCACACATATCAAGAACTATTTCTCCAGGTTGAGGATCGAGTATTCGGGAACAAATTATTGAAGGTAAATTTTGAAGAAGTCCAGATCCTTCTAATAAAGATTCGTTGCCTAATTGAGGAAGTCCTGATGTTGTTTCGTTCATTAAAACAGCAATTCCCTTACATTTATTATCTTCAAAAAATATTTCATTACGACTTTTTTGTAGAATCCCATAACCGAGAAAAACTTTTTCATTATTCTCATATTTTTTTGCAAAACCTTTTTTACATCGGCCATAAACATCTGCGAATACTTCGACTTTATCTCCAACTTTTGCTCCAGAAGTGAGACCCATAACTCCTGGAGCAAATATATGAGATCCTCTGAGAACAGCTGCTCCACATGACTCATCCACAATGATTTGATGCAATTGTTCAGATGTATTCGATAACTTATCTTTAGCAAGGTCTTCTCGATTGGCAACAACAATTAATTCTGGCAAACTAGGATAAGTTGATATTTTTGGCAAACATTCAATTTTGTTTTTTAAATGACTTATTACTGCATCAGGATTACTGAGTAAAGTATTTACTCTAATTGTAGTAATTTTTGGTGTTTCACGTAGCCATTTCAATAATTTGTCCAATTTCATCTATAAATAAATGATCAATATTTATTATTATCCAATTGGAGCAAATGAAATATTCTCAGTCAAAATTGATTATTATTTCCAATAATTTTAGATGAAAATAGCCTGAATATTTTCAATAAATTTTTTTTGTTGGCCTTGTAATTATTAAATTATAAAATTGTAAATTTTTTCAAAAAAATATCAAAAAAATAACCATACATATGTAACTACCTTAATGTCAATGTCATTTAAATAATGATTAGAAACTCTTATTTTGCTTAAATCATTTTTCAATTCTGCTTCTATTGCTTCTTTGTGTCGAAAAAAAGATTGTTCATTATTCATAACTATTATTATTGTTATTGTTTAAGTATTGTTTACAACGTAAATAAAAATCTAACCGGAAGTTGAACCGGCTTAGTACAGTTGCGCTATCGTGGAATAATAAGGAATTGAAATTTACGCTCTGCCGGTAGCTTGAAGAAGCCGTGAAACTTTTTAACCCGTCACGTGACCACGATCAACCAATGGAAAGCTATATGAGTCGCCCTATACGTGGCATGAAGCATGAATCCTTTCTACATCCGCCATTTTATCATACGGGACATTTCGGGAGTGTTGGTTTTATGTTTTATCATTTCTCGTGTAAAAATAATCATTTTTAGTGCAAAGTAAGTAAATATAGTGTTGAATATTGATAGCATAGATTCATTTAAGTTAGTAACCAATAAAACAGGTCACAATAAACGTATTTTACTTGGACAAACAGCGTAAATTGGACATTATTCAGCCTCCCGAGAGAGACGTAGGTCGAAGGTGACAGACAACTACCCTCGACAGATTGACAAGACACGCTGGAACTTTTTAGTCAATAATTTACATAAGAAAGTACGTACCTACCAATGTAACTTTGAACATTTATTTATGATTATTATAATGTTTCTTCATTTATTTTCTTTATGTTTTTCCGGAAGTGAAAAATGATTCATGGTTTCTCTCTGATGGCTTAGTTTCCGTTGATGCATGCACGCTTGCCCTATTGGTACCACCAACACCCCGATATGCCTTGACAAAATTAATGATTACTAAACCACATTCAATTATTTTTCGACTAATTAACTAGCACATTACGTACGTTAAACAGTTAGATTGTTCAATTATATTCTAAAAACTTTGTTAAAGAATAAACAGAATGAATTTATAGCCACGCTATTACTTCCTACGTGGTCGTGTGTTCGCGAATTGCTACCAGGTTTTATCATGATGATGTAAACTCTTGAGTATTTATATTTTACGAATGTTAACTTAATAAGAGAACTTCAAACTCGTATTGTATTGTGTCATAAAACTAATTGGCACATATCCAGTACCTTATATTATTGTTTATAATTAATTTAGCTTTCAATGTTGAAAGATTCGAGTAATATATGGCAATGTTATTTATTTTTATTATTTTCTTTTGTGTTTTAGGTATTTATATAGTTAATTATCAACCATGGGGAATATGTTTGCAACGTTATTTAAAGGCCTGTTTGGCAAAAAAGAAATGAGAATTTTGATGGTCGGTCTTGATGCAGCCGGTAAAACTACAATCCTTTATAAATTAAAATTAGGGGAAATTGTAACAACGATTCCTACTATAGGTATAGTGAAATTTAACTATATAAAATCGGAGTATTTTTATTAGTCAATTGTACTAACGATTTTTATTTTTTTTTCTTATAGGATTCAATGTAGAGACTGTTGAGTATAAAAATATTAGTTTTACTGTTTGGGATGTTGGTGGCCAAGATAAAATCAGACCTCTGTGGCGGCACTATTTCCAAAATACACAAGTATGTAATCGATATTTTTAATCAATAATAATATAACTAACACAACAAGTTAATTAAAATATTTTTATCACCATTATTTAGGGATTAATATTTGTGGTGGACAGTAATGACAGAGAACGTATTGGTGAAGCACGTGAAGAATTAATGCGAATGTTGGCTGAAGATGAACTGAGAGATGCAGTACTGTTGATATTCGCTAATAAACAAGTCAGTATCAATAGCTGATGTGTAGTTATTACGATATTATTGTTCGTTTAATTTAAATATTTACTATGTACTTTGACGTGAAATATATGTGTTTATGTTTCCTGTAGGATTTGCCAAATGCCATGAATGCGGCAGAAATAACAGATAAATTGGGCCTACACTCGTTACGCAATCGAAACTGGTATATCCAAGCCACGTGTGCCACGAGCGGAGATGGTTTGTACGAAGGTCTTGACTGGTTATCCAATCAACTAAAGAATGCAAATCGTTAATCAAGAGTGACTATTTTGTCAACATTAAGTTGCTATTATTATCATCGTCAACAAAAAAACATAATAAACACAAAACCATCATTTAAAAAATTGATAAATCGACCGAAACAATATTAACATCAACAAGAAATTACTATAATAACACGAATCAACGGCGAACACCTGCCCTCGTGAGAGTACAAAATGCCGCAAGAAGGATTGACGCGTTTTCAAACAAACAACTTTTTTATTTTTTCATTCAGGGGTGGGAGAGGGCAAATAAATGCTAATGATTTTAAGATAGATAGGCTCGAGATAGTTCATAATAGCAAGCAGGTGACAGGAAGGTATGTGAGAGCGTGTGATCGGCTCTAGATTTTTTAAGTTTAAACATGGATTGACGTTCTCACTAGAATTATTTGCCCTGTGCAAATCTATTATATTAATTCTATTATTATTGTATTAATTAATTATTATAATTATTATTATTATTAATATTATTATTATTATAATTATTATACTAGAATTATAGTTACACTTTTTACACAGATATACCACAACATCAAGTGTGGAGAATATAAAGTGAAAAAGTTGGATATTCTTAAAAAAAAAATATAAACTAAATCATTGTATTAAAATAATTGCCAAGTACACACAAATGATATAAACAGAAATAATAATAATAATGTTGTAATTGATTTTAATTGGCTTCTCGAGTGTTCGTTAACCGTGAATTTGTAAGTGAAACAAAAGTGAAAGAATGAAAGACTTTAGAAATTTTTCTTATGTGACAATTTAATAAACGCTAAATAAAATAACAGTGTTTTAGAAAAGAATATAAAAATAAAAAAAAATCGATCTAGATAGTCGCACACGTCGGTATCATTATTTCACATGTGCTTGATTACTTGATAATGTAACTTCATTTCTTGTACATTACATTATAAATCTTGAAACATAATGGAAAAAATGAACATTTAATTGATAGAAAAAGGAATATATAAAGAGAGTGTGCCGTCTTGTCCAATGCATTGCATTTGTTTGTAATGCTATTCTCCCTCCCCAATGAATCCCTCCCGCCTCACAATCTCACCAAACACATAATTATGTCCTGCTTATTAACGCACTGCAATTAATTAAAAATTTTTAATAATACACTTTAATAAGAGAGATAAAATATTATAAAAATCCTTGGAGTGGTGCAACAAGCTCAGAGCTGTTTTGAAATTATCAAATTAATTAAATATAAGTAATGAATAATTATTATTTTTCTTTTTTACCATTATTATCATTTTTATTATTATTATTATTATTATTATTATTATTATTATTACTATTACTATAACTAGAATTTTTGTATGTTTTGCAGAAACGCGATCGATGTAGACGAATAGTAGGTCAATTTACTCTCATACTCGAGATAATAAGAATGAAATAAATAAAAAGAATAATAAAAAAAAAAGAGATAAAGTCGTTTGGTGTAGAAAATAAACGTTAACATTCCGAAACTAAAGTGAATTTGTCAGTGGAAATTTGATCACAATTACAGGCATGGTTTGTGAACAAAATATCCAATGAAATCACTAATTATTAATAATAAATTAATACTAAGTAAAAATTTATAGATATAATAATAATAAAACAGATTAAAATACACTTTTTTAAATCATAGATGAGGGAAGCTGGGAAACGCAGTGCTTAATATTTTTTTCTTTCCCTCGAAGGCTACGCTTTACTGGGTCTTCTAATAGTAATTATTATGAACTATATACGGAGTGCGTTTTCGTCTGAAAGTGCTGAATGTGTTTTTACAATACATAATCCTTTCGATAAACAAATAAGAATGACAAGAATTAATTATATATAGTATATTATATATATACATACGTATATGTAGAATATATATATATATATGTGTGTATGTATATAAATATAAATAGAAATATAAAGAAAACGTTTCCATGATACATTCATTAAATACGCCTTCATCGTCATTGTGAACAGAAAAAATAATTAAAAAAAATTAATAAATCATATAATTATGTATGAATGTTCAATCATTTGTGAAATATATTGTAACTGAGCTTTACATAGTGCATTATTTTTAACAACTTAAATTCATGAACAAAAAAAAAAAGAAATAATCGTTATGCAGTCATTATTACTTTATTAAATTGTGTACTGATTAACTTGTCGGCATATAAATAAATAAATAAACTGAATACTGAAATAGATTGCCACTGGTAAGAAATTGAGTTAAAAAGCATATTTTTATTTTATCTTTATGCGAACAATTTTAATTTTGGTATCTTTTTAGAGCTTTATAAAATTAGTATTTCACTTGTAAGTTATTATTGCTGTTATCATTATTATTATGGCTATTCTAATAACTGTATCGTTCATCATTACAAAATCAACATTGCGTTGTTTTTAAACAAAAGGCAAATTCTTTGATGAAATATATTATTGATGCTAATTCTGTTTGTGGAAAAGAAAACAAGAAGAGCACGCATCGACGTTATGGAAGATGATAGATGAAAGAGGGACAGGATAAGTGCGTTGATGACGTATTTGCTGATAAAATTATATTGTGAAATCAAAAGTTATCAGTTAAATATTGAATTAATCGGAAACTAATATTGATAATAAGTGTCACTCGAAAATGAGATCTTTAAATTTTCTTATATTATTTTAACATATCTGAAGAACTGTTGTTGAATGTTGAATGTTAACTATTGATGAATGTTGATTTATTTTTATTTTTTTATTGATATTGCGTTTTATTTAAATTTAACATTTAGAGAGTAGAATTGCGTTGATGCTGATTGATCATTCGAAACAAACCCTTGATAACATACGTGTGTATCTGGTCAAGTCTGGAACTGCTACAAAAGACTTCGTAGTCGTCGGAATTGCGCCAGCCGACCCCTGGCTTATGCGAGAAACGGCGCCAACATTCCCATCGTCTCACAGACTTGTGCGGCAATAAAATCGCCACGCACTCGAGCACTGTATGTTAAAAGTATACAGTATGGGTGGGCGTAAATACTCTCTACCTTAGATACATCTTACAATGTTAACCACGTGAAGATACTTGTCGAGAAATTCGACTTGGAAAAAAAATTCAAAGAAAATTGGATGTAAAAATAATAAGACAATTATTCAAAATACTAGTGAAACAAAATACATTTGCATACAGACAGATATAAAATTATTTTCTCAATAACATGTAACGTTGTTGTGATTGGTTAATTAAAAGAAAAAAAGTAACTTACTTCAATTACTCTTAAAAATATTCCCACTGAAATTGCTTGTTCAATTGACTTGATTATTGATCAGTTTGAATATGATTTAATTTCAAACTTTCATTTATTTTAATACATTTATTAATAATAGCAGAAAATTTGAAAAAATATCAATTTGCATACAAAGGGAAATAAAATGAATTTTGAATTATGGAGTGGTTTCACGATAAACTAATAAAAAATTGCTTATTTTAACCACGTAAAAATTCTTGTGGTGAAATTCGTCTTGAAAGTAACATTAGAAAATTCAAAAGGGAAAAAAATACTCTACATCATGAAACATCAAAAGAATATAAAATAATTTTATTAAATAAAACAATAGTTTAATGTAATTCGATAAAAATTTTGTTTACTCCAAAAAAATTTTAATTCTCCAATAAAAACAGAGTCACCAATAAAACATTTAGGTGTAAAAAATGATGAATTTAAAAAAAATATTTACTCTGTAGAATAAAAAATGGAAAATATTCAAATATTTTCCATTGAATATATAAATTTGATTCTTAAATGCTAATTGATAGCTAAATCCAGAGCTTTCATCGGAAATTTAAATTGAATGAAAAATAAAAAGGAAAAAAGTACAAAAATAATATTCCTCTTAAATAACTGCATATCTGAATAAAATGAATACTTTGACATTCCACAGGCACGATGGTACATAATGATAGAGAATTTTGATGGCTAATAAATAATTCCATCTGTTTAACGTATACAATTGCATTGATACTGATATCAGCATAAACATTAAAACTGCATGGAGCCAATGACACGCGTGACTTCTTTTTCTTTCTATTATTTTCCTTCACTTACTCTCTCTCCTAACTTATGGCAACACGCAAATAGATGTCCCAGATCCGTCGGTGTTTATCGTCTCGCATTAACGACTCTGCGGGGCGGCGTGTCAATTTTTCGTATTATTTCAATCGGCAGTTTGGCGCGCCGAGGCGCCTCCTGCGATCGCTTGTCTCGCCAGTTTCTGATCATGTCATCCAGAAGAAAGACTTTGTGGTCCTTTCTAAATCCATTATATCATTTTTTGATCATTTTCAAATAATTGTTTACGGTTCTTGCTTGTATTGAATATGAAAAATTTCATTTATGATAACTTTATTTAGGATTTTATCTGATTTATCGCTTACAATGTATAGAGTATCAACTTTTTTTATTACTTACTTTCATGATAAATAAATTGTTTTTATTATTTACGGGTTATTATGTAATTGATAATAAGGAACTCATGTAATATTATATTTAGAACAAAAATATTTTTATGATATAAAGGTGAAAATGTTGTGGAATAGCTGACTTGGTTCTAATAGGTCTTTAAATCTTCGTGAAAGACAGCAAAGTTTCGGCAGTGCTAGAAATTGTATCATCTGTACTCGAACAATGTGGTTATTCTGTAATTTAAGATGACATAAAAGACGTTAAATTCATCCCAACTTTTACCTAGAGAATTTAAAAAAAATTAATTTTTTTTTGTTAATAAAAATTTAATTATCATTATATATAACAAAATTTTATAAGAAATTTATCTCTTAATAGTTTAAAATAAAATTTGCAGTTTAAAATAAATAATGTTTTCATTTCATAGATGATAAAATGAAGTCAAGTTTTTTTTATTCAAGAATTGTATATCTAAAGTATCCAACATACAGAATGATTGAAATTATTATTTCTATAATTATTGTCAATAATAATTTAAAATTTTTATTTTTAAATATATATTAATAAATAAAATGCACTTTTCAATAAACATTAAGTTATCACAATAATTCCCACTAGAAAGAAGATATTTTTATATCTTATTATAGCCACTGCTACAGATGAAACTGTCAGAGATTATTCCTAAAAGAGATAGAATGCAATGAAATGTGTTTAAATAAATTCAAAAGACATTCAAAGAATGCACCATTTTATCTTTAATTAAAATTCATCCGATTTTTTTCACTCCAAAATGGTTTTAAATCAGAAAGATCTCATACTATGTACCGATTTATAATTCAATAAATTAAAGAATTCACTACCAAACAAATATTCTTGAATCAAAAATAATTTTATTCTTGATTACAATATTCTCAAATAAAACAATAATACTTGGATAGGATAAGAACCGAAAGGATAAAGATTGATGGTAAAAATCCCATGATCCTGTCATCATTCTGTTCTTATCCTGTCTTCATGTATTCTATGCTATACAAGTATCACTGTTTTATTCAAGAACATTATGATCATGAATAAAATTATTCTCAATCATAAAATATGATTTTATCAGTATAATTGTACAATGAAGTTCTTGTCAACAACTAAACCACGTTAATGATGAAATGATATTAAATTTTGCCTTGGGATTTAGTTAAAGTCCAGTAACTCAATAGAGTTCTTAGAAACTATTCAGCCCTTATTCAATAACTTAATTTTCTATCGAGCAAATAATGGCAGACTTGGAGGCATAGAAAAAATGAGCATTCCTGGTCACTTAGTCGAGCGATGTTTTCTGAACTAATTGGTCCATCAATACCCTAGAAAATATTTCTGGGAATGATAAAAAAAGTGAATAAATTAAGTGTAGAGGAAAGAAACGAAAATTCCGTCGTCTTGGACGCGATCAAAGGATTATCCTTTGTATATTGGCTAAGTCTGTTGAGCGTGCGATTCATGAATAGACCGAGAAACGAGTCTTTCATGGTATTATTCACGATCGTGCAGGGGCCCACAACGTTTTTCTCTTGTGATTTCGGTTATACTCCTTGTGACTGTTGTTAGTTTCATCATCGTCTTCTTTTTCTGCCTTCTTTTCTATCCCTTATGTGTCTGCATGCTACATTTATTCGTAGAAACCCGCATTGACTGGAAGATTAATGGAAGTCCTTCCTACGGGTGTGAGGTCTCCACTTCCATTGGCACATTATTTTGGGGCTTTGTGTACGACAGACCGCGAATTTCCTGTTTAAAAGAAGCCCACGAGAGCCACATATAACACCCATGTGATAGATTGAAAAAAAAAATAATTCATACAGTTTGATATATGTATCCCGACACCTAGGAAGTTTGTCTCACACCTACGCACAAGATCTGCCGTCTGTAGGCCGACTACGCCTCGGCTGATTGACTCTGGATGTCCCAGCATCACTGTGTGACACCCACTCACTGTAATTCGAATCAAACGCACAATCTCACTATCTGGCAATCTCAACCAGTTCTGTATTGTATCAGTTAACGATTGAATTACCGACTTTATGTACTCTTAGTCCACTAAGGATTGACAACGAAATTTTGTTCGAGACTTTTTTGGAGTGAAAAAGTTTTCAACTAAATTATTTACATCATTAAAACGTTTACGAAATTATTTAATCATTTATGTAAACATTTTAAGTAAATGTTTATTAAAATGATTATTAGTCACTGCTTATCAAAATATATATAAAATAAATGTTATCAGTTAAATTAAAAAGAACGACTTTCAAATTAAATTAAAACTTCAAAACCTTTGAGATGAAAAAGAAGTATAAAAATTTCTCCGACTCTCAAACGAGATTTTCTTTAATGCGAAAAAAGAGTACATGGTATATGGGATCAGGCTAACTAATGAGGCAAATTTTTAGGCAAAAGCTAGACTTACATAAAGGCTGTTAGATGGTAAAAAAGGTGAAATGCCTTAGGAGGAAGTATAGTAATGTGGATGGAAGGGTTATTCTGGGGTATATATCTGGTAGATGTTGGCTGGCTTTAAATGCAGCTGATTAGCTAGACTACACATAGAACACACGCAGAATACGCAGAACAGGGAGTAGAACGTGCACACAGAGCTGCGGACTCAGCCTCCCACCCGACGATCTGGCTGGCTCGTTTCTACGGTCACTCAGTCACGAAGTCAGTCATTCATCCGCGAGCTCGCGAGTCGTGCTCTTCTCCTCGATTGCTTATACCTACCACCAACATTTGGGTCTTCTCCAATATCTCCATCGTCTTTTGTTGCACCTAAGCGGACTGTTCGGTTGAGTGATATTTAACACAGTTGGTGAATTATTGTCTGTAAAAGTAGAGCGATTGCGAGCCTGAAGAAATATCTAAATAAATAAGGTGTCAAGAGGCGCATGCGTAAATAAATGAGGATTGGCCGGCAATGACGAGGATGATGAGATGGGCGACAGTTGACGAGGCTGGGTGTGCTGCTGATCGTGGTGCTGCTGCTTTTGGTGTCTACTGTTTAGCCGCTGCCGCCACCGCCGGCCGACGATGAGCTCCTATCCGCGACGATCGTCATGCTGCATGCGCTACTACCTTGTCACTTGCGCCGCCCCCCGTGCTGTTTCTGACTCTTAGTTACTCTTACTCCGCTTCTAGGACTCTTATCGTGAAAATAAGAGCGCCAAGCGGATTGTTTTGCACGCGTGACAAAAGATAAAAGTGTTTTGTTGGTTTACTTTATATACTTGGAAATAACTCAACTGTTAAACATTGTGTCATATACATTGTCGTGTATATTTATACTCTACTTTTGAGACGTTATATATTTTATTATCACTTTGATACTCTCTTTTACTTTGGACTGCATCCTCTTTACACGCTATTACCTTTTACCGTCCTTTACTACTTTACCACATTTTAACTGAATGTGAGAAACGTCTACGCTTTTATTTCATCATTCAAGGGGTTTAACAAGATGTATGCTCAGACAACAAGTGTGGTGCTGCCGATTTTACTCGTGCTTATCATCAACTCCGGCACTGGGATTGTTGGGAAAAAAGTCGCACCACTCATTGATGATGAATTAACCAAAAGACCGCATCGACCTGCTGGTAAGTAAATATTTGTACATTCTTATTTTTCCATTTATTCATTTGTAAATCGTCATTTTAAAGTTGTGTATATTTATCTGGGTAGTTTGTTATAAATTCCTCCAGTCTTTCTTTTTTTCTTCTCATCATCATCATCATAATTTCCTTCATCTTCGCGCGCTAATTTTTCGTGCCGGTATAGCTTTTAAACAAACCTAATCTTGATTAACAGAATCGCTGCGAGATAACAGTGATATACTTTACTTTATATATACCTTCCTTCGATAATAAATTAGCCCATTTTATTATTTTATTTTTTCTCATGATATTTATAGATGTTTTTATTGATACAGGAATTGAATCTTCTGTACGTTTTTCGTTTTTTTTTATTTTACATCTTTTGCCATTAAATTTTTTCTTTTTTTCACGGTAAAAATATATACGAGCACACTCTGTTGCAGTCTGCTCAGAGAAAACTTGTAAAGATTTATTTAATGCAGAGAGAAAATGTCAAGAGAATAATGCAATGCAAGAGATTTATAAATATTATTAATTACATTATAATCTATATTAATAATAATAATAATAATAATAATGATGGTGATGATGATTGAGAGAAATAGAATATATATATAGATGGACAATACACGTAGATTAGAATATAGTTTCCGTAGTGCGAATCAATTAATCGGCTTATCGTATCAAAGAGATCGTTCGAGAGTCAAGAAACATATACGCTGATGATTAAGATATGAATTGAAAAAAATGAATTGAGTCATATTCTCGTCACCTTTGTGATGTAATTTAAATACATTCAAATGAGTGTTAATGAATCTTGATATTGAAGATTCTCTTTGTTGAACTAAATATTTTATTTTTATAAAAAAAAAAACGCAAAAAAATAAAGCCACAATTCCTTTTCTTACTTAGAAAAGGAATAATTGGATAGGAAATTGTTTAGATAATAAATAAAATTCTTAGACATAAATTATTTTTTAATTTTAAAATATTTATTAAATTTTTATCACATTAATTTGAATAAATAAATTTATTGATGATTTTGATGATTAATATTAATAACTGCAGACTAGTGTTTTGGAGATTAATGAAAAAATGATAGATAAATATATAAATACGAATATGATGATATTTAAAGTTTTATTATTGTTAAAAAAAAAATTATTTTTGATAGTTTGAAAAATATTCTTTTGTTTTAATGTTTTATGATTGAGAATAGCTTGAATACTTGCTTGGAAAACAATAATATTTATGTAGATGATACATTGCTTTGTTTGAATAATAAACAATTGGAAAAAATAGTTCTTTGTTGGAGTTCAAGTTGTATAGTTTAATTACATAATTTGTTCATTTAACAATTAGTATTTTATTGAATACTACTTATTTTTATCTCTGACCTCTATTATAGAATTTTTTTTCAAACAATTCATAATTGATGATAAAAGTTCTGAAACTATTACATCAAACAATGATATTTTAATAATGGTATTAATGTAATTTTTGATGACTGTTGTCACCCAAAACATAATAAAATTTATTAAAGTCAAAGCCAAAGTTTTTTCTATGTACATTTTCTGTACATGAAGATTTTTCTTTAGATTGGCAGTAGTTAATTGGCCGCAGAAAAGTAGAAGCAGAAGGAATGAAAGCTCAGAATATGCATCAGTATTATAAGAGGTATTATATACAAAATACAACGCTCCTTTTATACTAGATGGTAACATATAACGAATTAACAAATTAAAATAATCATTATTTATACATTAAATGAAAAATTAAACAATCATTAGGAACTGATTCAACTGAGTAGTGTTTTAGTTATCAAAATTACTTTACTTCTTACAAGTTAACAAATTTTTTACTTTGTATTCTTCTAAGGTATTCTTTAAAAAAATCAATAATCTTTAAAAAAAATATTTTAATTCATTTATTATATCGAAAGTAAAAGAAATAGTTCATTGAAAAGATTTTGTTATTACTCAATCAAGTAAAAGATGAATAAATAAATGATTAAAATAAAATTTGAAATAGTTTAGATGGTTTAATTTTTAATAAAATTGATTAATATTTATTATTAAAGACTCCAATAATCGGATATTGAGCTGAGAATAGTGTATTCATGATGATCAGTTACCATTAAAATTGAATTTCATGTTCAAGTGTGCAGACTTTTACCTTTATAATGCTTTGGAATTTAGTGTAACTATAGAACACATGTAAAAGATCCAGTGAAGGATCCTCGTATACATTAATACGTGTGCTGAGAGAGTCAGCATCGCTTCTAGGTGTTGCCGCAAATATATTTAGACGAGCAGCAGACACAAAACGATTGCCGTCGACGCCGAGAACTCACGTTCTCTTGTGTAGTGTGGCATGTATTCCGTGTATCCATGGCGCCTATTGCGTAAATTTATTCCTCCCGTGCACACCACATATTTCGGCTTCGTCATGTCATATACAAAAGACCGGCCAATATATAGGTAATACAATCATATATCCAGACGTCAAAATGAGGATTATTCAAATTGTTGCATTGTAACGGACCGTGACGTACGTATACATCGCTAAAAATTTCTGTGATTATTCGATCAGGAATCTGTCTGAGGAGAAATAAAAGACTGACTTTTTCATAGAATTTTATTGACAATTGTTTTTTAAGAAAAAGAAATAATTTTTTTTTTTTTAAATAAAATAGTGACAGAAAATATGTCATTCATCGTCAAAAAATTTTTATTTCCATTTTTTTTTTTTTTTCAGATTAATTCATGAAAAAAAAATTATAAATAATGTTTTATTTTAAAATGAATGAATTTTTTTGATTTAGAGAAAAACATTTTTTATTTTAATAATGTTGCATAAATTTCTAATAAAAAATCACATAAATATATAAATAAAATTTTAATAATTTATTAATCACATATTTTTGATCAGTTGATATGTGTGATCTAAAGAGCTAGAAATATTGTCAAATAAATTAAACTAAAGAAATTTATAACATAAATAATAGTTGTTTAGTTGAATGTTGAATGAAAAAGAAAACATTTTGTTTTCTACATAAAAATAGAAATTTCAAAAATGGTTCAAGTTCAAGTATGTTTTGCATTTTCGAAAAATTTCCTCAAACATTTAATTTGATTCATATAATCCTTGAAATTCAAAAAGATAAAAATAAAGAAACAATGTAGAGAAATTTTTATTTCTTCAGATATTTTTTAAAATAATTTCTAACATAGGTGAATGTAAATAATTAACAATCATTATACTTTTTTTTTTATCAGTAAAATATTTAAATACTTGCAATCTTAACTTAAAACTTGTAAATATTTCAAACATGATTGGAATTTCTTTTTTCAAATCTCTTTAAATAACGATTTAACACAGAATGTATTATTCAATGTCAACTAATTATGGGATGTAGTAGAAAAAAAACAACTTTTGCAATAACACTAAAGATTTTTTAATCGTTATTTTCATAATTTATAACAATTAAATAAACAGAAACACATGAAAATAACGTATTTAGTATATCAATAAAATTTCTCTTTCCAATTTACAATATTAAATGAAAGAAAAAATAATAATGATGTTAATTAGTGTCTCACAAGCTCACTCACGCGATAAACCTAAAAAGTTTGTGTGTATTTTTAAAAAATAAAAAGCCCACCAGTCAATATAATAAGATCGAATAGGCGGATTATTTAAATGACTGTATTGTGGCATCAAGTCGTAGTGTCAGTACAATTAATCACCCTGTGAAATATTTATAGATGATATAGATTGGAAGTAATGTGCAACAAGAATTTCGCGGTCTCATTATATATGAAAGTTTACTTAGGGTTGGGTCGGCGCCGATGAAATATGCAACCGCGACGCATATTATATCGGCAGTACAACGACATTTATTTCGTGCGACTTGGCAAGTAAAATAATAAGAAAAGAGATTATTTCACGAGACGACGAATAACTAAATGTTGTGTACAGTACACATAAGCAACGAACAGTGTGAGACGAAGGATAAGGTGAGGTGCCATATACACGATGAGGTGCGACATGAGGTGAGACAAGAAAAATAATGTAGAAGGAAGTGATGTCGAAGACCTCTTCGGGGTAGGCGTTAGGAGAATCATGTATATACATATAAAGAGTCAGCACGTAGGTTGAATGAGATTAAGAGAATCCAAGTGAGAGAAGAAGAAGAAGAAGAAGAATATGAGAATAAGAAATGAGAAAAGGGCCTGGTCCTGGGCGGTACAGGTCCAAGCTCCATTGGACATTGTATGCAGAGTATCTGACGGTCGTCGTCTCTCCTTTCAGGCTTGGAAGAACGCGCCATACCTATATGTACACTATTCTACTCTTATTCCTCGTGATGCTATGGGACAAGAGAGAAAGAAAAGTCCTATCGCTATGTGTATTATAAGAGTCTCTCTGAGAGATCAAGAAAGAGAGCTGGACCAAAGACACATGCAATTCTTTTTCGCTCTTTTTTATTCCCTCCTTCTCCTCTCTCTTTTTATATCATTTACACCGCTCTCTCGCATAAGAAAAAAGAGTCGCTCGAGGAACGTATGCAGGACTGATAATGCGCCAGAATGGGAACTGTTGTCGCCCGGGAATATGCTTGAATGTAAATGAGTGAGTGTATATGGCTCTATACTACGGGAACTTGTATATGCCCCGTACGAGTGAGAGAGTTCAAGCCTGCAGGCCGAGTGAAACGAACCCGGACATTCAAGTGAATAGGTTATCGAGGTCTAGTCAACAATCAACGATTATCTTTGATAGATATGAAATTACTAGGGATACAGGTATCAATTAACATCTGTTCTATATCGAGCATTATCACTTTCGCACCCTGTTATATTGGCTTCGGGGATAATTAAGCCGTTCGATTTCCGCATGGGTTTAGTCATTTTGGGATTAATGAGGCTTTCATGATGAAAAATTGGTTTAGGAGATTTAGTGGCTTCGATTGTATTAAGGAGTGTACTTTTAATTAATAT